AAAACATCAAAAAACCAATGGTTTTTCAACAAAAAAATGTCAAAATCTCATCCCGCGCGCTCTTGCGGATTCGTAGGAAACCCAACACTTTTTAAACATTTCTGTCAAACGGGCTTTTGCGAGCAACTTTTTCGAACTTCTGCAACAACGGTTGCGCACCTGCCAGGGCCATCATCCCTGTCAAATAATACCATGCGGGACACATTCGTTTTTTCTTCGCGCGCGCACGCCGTCGTCGTCGGCCGCGGGGCCCTGAATAGTAGCCACGGTCGTCCGCATGCCACGAAGTGAAGTGTCCGAACGTCATAGGGCGGGAAGCTGGGTGTGGGTGGTGGCGAAGAGTCGTTTGGAAATTTGGTAGAGCTTGAACCGGCCCCCCCACAAAGTGGGGGTATTGCCCGCCTCCTATGAAATCCCTGGCACTGGTGAGAACGGAGTGTCCCCACGTGCTAGTAAGTGTTGTTGTTGTTGTTGTTGTTGTTGTTGTTCCACGGGTTCCTGTTGCCCGTGAGCCATCAACCGTGCGTTTTTACATGCGTTCTTCTCGCCCGTGAGCGCAGGCCGTATGTTTTTACAGCGGTGCCTGTTGCCCGTGAGCCGACATCCTCTGTTTCGCAAGGGCCCTGCCCGTTCCGTGGCGCATCCCCTTGCTCGTTGGCGCGTCTCCTGTCGCTTCCCGTGCGACGTCCCCTGGCGTGCCGCGCCCTGGCACGCCCCCTGCCCTGGCGCGTCCCCTCGGCTCGTCCTCTGGCGCGTCCCCTGGCTTGCCCCCTGGCGCTTCCCCTGCCCCTTCCGCGGCGCGTTCCCTGCCGCGCCCCCTGGGGCTCGTCCGTTGCCGTGTCCCCCTGAGCGTCGTGTGGGACGTCACCTGACGTGAGGTCCTCTGGCACGTCCCACGGCAAGTCCCTTGACACGTCCCCTGGCGTATCCCCTAGTGAGCCCCTGGCACGTCGTGGCGCGTCCATGCGCCTGGCGCCCCGTGTCGTTTCATCCCGCTTTGGAATTGAGTCTGAGTTTGAGCTCGATATGATTGAGCGTCCCACACGATTCGATTGCAACTAGCTCTGGGCCTGGTAGGCGCTCAGGCAGCTCGAGCTTGAGATCCAGATCAGTTCGTTCAGGATTCGGATGCCAAGGACGACTTAATCCACAACGCTATTTAGAAAAACGCTAGTCATCGCGGCATGACACATCTCAAGTCAGCACGGCTCAGCACTGCACAATTTCTGGCACCGCTGAGTTGAGCCGTGCTCCTGCGGCTTCTCGGGGACCTCTTACGGGCTTGCTGCCGGCCTCGCAGGTCATGTTGGTGTCGAGGGCTCGAAATGTCAATTCAAGTTCCCCATCTTGGGCTCCTTCGAAAGAGCGCGTTCTGTGGTCGCTTGGAAGGGGGTGATGGTTTGGAACCGGACCCCCCCCACGTGGGGGGGAGTTCGACCCCCCCCTTCAAGGGTTTTCTTGGGCCGTCTTCGTGGCCGTCTGGGGCATCTTGGGGCCCTCTGAGGCTGTTTCTGGGCCGCCTTTGGGGCCTCTTGTTGCGAGCCTCGGGGCCGTCTTGAAGCGTCGGGAACCTGTGAGTGCGAGAACGCTCAATCTGTTTTGAGAGAAACCCGTATGGATATCAGCGATGCTGGCCTCTCGGGGCCCTCTCGGGGCGTATTGGGGCCTCGTTGTGTCGTCTTCAGGCCATGTGGGGCGTCTTGGAGCGAACTTTGAACGACGACGGGGGGCCACCTATGACCGTCCTGAGGGCCCCGCGGGACTTGTTTTAAGTCGGGCACGTCCCTCTACAGGAGTAATCGTCAAGCATAGTCAAAAACTAGTCGGGGGACGATTTGTTTTGACTATTTTGGATTATGTTGTTTTTTTTTATTATTTTCATTTTTCGTACAAAACCCGCCTGTACGAGGACACGCCCAATCTAAGACTTGTTCCCCTCGTCTCGAAGCCCGGCTCCTTCCCGCAAAACCACGCGACATCGTGTGGAGAGCCCCAAGAGCGCCCAGCAGCGCCCGAGAGGAGCTGGAAGTCGGGGCCGTGAGCCCCTCGAGGGAGTTCTCCGATTCTCCGCGCAGAGGCCCCTCAGTGGACGTGAAGACACTCCACGGCGACCTTCCTGATCCCGAAGGCGCCCTCCCCGATCGCGAAGCGCAGCGGAGGCTGCACCTGCTGCTGCGACAGCCGCTCCACGAGGACGTCTCCTGCCCAGCGCCGATGCGCGGCTCTCCGGCCGCGGCCGTCGTCAGCTTTGTGGCTTCTGTGGTAACTTTTGGGTCTGATGCACCTCGGAAGGAACGGCCACTCCTCCTCCTCCTCCACCTCCTCCTCCACCTCCTCCTCCTCCTCCTCTCCTCCTCCTCCTCCTCTCCTCCTCCTCCTCCTCTCCTCCTCCTCCTCCTCATCCTCCTCCTCCTCCTCCGCCAGCCCCTCTCCCTCCTCCTCCTCCTCCTCCTCCTCCTCCTCCTCCACCTCCTCCTCGCCCCCAGTTGCGACTCGGATCCGAGGGCGAGCCCGGCTGCATGTTTTTTGCCGAGCTGCGTCGACATTCCAGCGAGTCCCTCGCGGCACGGTTGCGCAGGTGTTCGTTCAGCACCAGCACCCATACCAAGCTGAAGTCACCCAGACGGGGCCGATGTCCCTGTTCGGACCAGCGCGGTTGCGGAGGAGACAGCTCGAGGTGTCTGTCAAGGCCCCCTAGATTTTACTTGAGGCCAGGGTCGTTTTGGACGCCGCGAGGCCTCCTTGCGCAGCGCGGCGGGAGGCCCTCTGTTGGCTCTCGTTCCTTCCCGGGCAGCCGCTACAGGGCTGGTAGCAGCCAGACGGCGGCGTCCACGGCGTCTCCTGGAAAGTGCGTGGGTCCAGGGCTTTCTCCTAGTCGGTCAACAGATGTTTAATGCCATGCGTGAGGAAGGCCAGAGATGAAAAACGATGTGAAGTCGCAGTTTGCCCAGATGCATAGGTTTCGCGCATGCTCGCTCGAGGGAAGTGCGCCCCTCATCTCGGACTATGTGTGTATATATATATATATATATAACGGGATCCGCAGACCCCGTCCCACCTTGTTAAACATGCGGAGCATTTCGCGCAGAATGCTTTACAAACAATTTCCTCTGAAGGCAAAGGAAGATGACCGAACCTTTTATAAACAATGAATGATGCAGGGTTGCGCACGTCGATGGTGCGTCCTGCGCGCAGAATCCTCGCGGATGTTTCGAGCGAAACGCGTGTTTTGAGAATAAGCGCTTCAGGTCGCCCAGGTGGATGTCTAACATGAGGATTTCTTGAGGATGACGTCTCGGGTGACTCGTTTGTTTTCACGTGTTCAGCTCGCTCATGAGGGTGTGAGACATGAGGATATGTTGAAGATGCCTCGGGCGACTCTGTTGTTTTCACCTGTTTCACGTGTCCAGCTTGCCCAGGCGAATGTCTAACATGATGATGTGTTGGGGATCTCTCGAGCGAAACGGTTGCTTTCAGGTGTCCATGTCGCCGAGGTGGATGTCTGACATGAGGATGTGTGGATGACGTGTCGGGCGACTCGTTTGTTTCCACATGTCCAGCTCGTCAATGCCGGCGTCTAACATGAGGATGTGTAGAGGACGCATCGAGCGAAACCCTTGCTGTCACGTGTCCAGCTTACCGAGGCGGACGTCTAACATGAGGATGTGTTGAGGATGTCTCAAGCGAAGTTGTTGTTTTCAGGTGTCCAGGTCGCCCAGACGGGTGGATGTGTTGAGGATGTCTCGAGCAAAATGGTTGTTCCACGTGTCCAGGTCGCCCAGGCGGATATCTGACATGAGGATGTGCGGAGAATGTCACCAGCGAGGCGTCTGTTTCCAGATGTCCAGGTCACCCCAGCGGGTGTCTAACATGAGGAATTGTTGGCAAGTGTCGGGGACGCCTCAAGCCAAACGCTTGCTCTGCAGGATGTGTTGAGGATGTCTCGAGCGAACGCCTCGCATGCAGCGACATGCGATGTTTGAAGACTGTGTTGACGAAGCCTCTTGCGAAACGCTGGCTTTGTATTGCTTGAAGAGATGTTTGGGCGCGGGGGGCCGTGTTGCAGTGTCGGTGCGTTTCGTTTCGGTTCGGGTGCGCGCCCCACGTTCGGTTCGTCCCACTTCTGTCTTGAATCGGATCTTGACTTCGAGATGGTTCAACGCCCCGCTTGTTTCGATTCCAATCTGCTTTGGGCGAGCCATGCGCGTTGGCAGCTTGAGCTCAAGATCCAGACCAGGTCAGACAGGATTGGGGTGCCAAGAATGGCTGGATTCACAACGCAACGGTACCACCAGCACAGCGCAGCACAGCGTGGACCAATCGCAGTTTACGCCAGGATCGCGGCTTTGGTTATTTGTGAGGGGCCTTGGCACTTGGGACTGCGGCTCCCTCGTCAGGAGGCGCCCTAGGTTTCAGGATGGTGAGCTGAAGCGTATTCGGCTCTTCCCAATCTTGATGTGTTTTGTGTCGCTTCGGATAGGGTGGGTTCGGTGTTCGTCTCGGTTCGTATTGCTTCGGTTCGTCTTGATGCAGTTCGTCGTGTCTTGGTTCGACGCTTTCGCGTCGGTTCGGAGTCGCCCCTTCTTGGTTCGTCCCGTTACAGAACTGAATCGGATCGTGATCTCGAGGTGGTCGAGCTTCCCGCGAGGCTCGACTGCAACCAGCTCGGGCTATGCGTTCAAGCGGCTGGAGCCTGAGATTAAGATCAGTTCGGTCAATATTCTAACGCCAAGGACAACTTGATCCACAATACAATTGAGCACAACACAGTTCAACGCGGCCTGCCGAATCCGGTGTTTTCATCACAGCCTGCTTGTTTATTTTTAACACATGTGGGTACACATGTGTCTCTGTATATCGATAAAAGTCTACACAGTGGGAGCGCGCATGAAGCACTGTGTTATACATATAATGTGTATACAATCGTTGTCAATCTCTCTCTCTCTCTCTCTCTCTTTCTGTCTCGCACTCTCGGTATCTATCTGTCTCCTCCTTTGCAGGTGGGGCGTTATGGCCCGACTGCTGTATACATTTACTCGATCTGCTTCTGGTGGAGTGACCTCGAGCAGTTGAACGACCAGGAGCGCATCGCTCAAGTCATCCCGTACTTGTTTTCGCATGTTGTGGGATGGACAATGGTTTTATCCGACCAGTTGGTATTTTTGACAGCAGAGTTGTCGTTCTCCGAAGAGGGGCGGCTACACAAGGCAAGTCGAATAGTGGCTGCTTTGTGCGCTCTTCGCTGGCACGTTTTACCAGCATGCAACCACGTGATGGTAAGTTCCAACAGGTTTCTTTGCATTTGATTTGCCACTGGAAATTGTTACGTCTGCGTATGTTGCGTTGTGTCTATCTGCAGGGCTGCGCCCTCTGCCGCCTGCACCTCGGGTGAAGTCGCTCGTTGGGAATAGCTGTGGGGTCTTCAAGCGGCCGCGTGGGGGCATCCTCGGGCATCTGGGGTAATCTTCGGGCCATCGTGGGGAATCTCGGGGGCTATCGTGAATCCTTTGGGGCCCATCTTCAGGGTGTCGTGGGGCCACTTTTGGGGGCCTTCTGGGGTTGCCTCGGGCCCGTACTGGGCAATCTCGGGGCCTCTGGGTCCGCCTTGCAGCGATCCTTAGATATCTTGGGGAGGAAAAAACGGCATAGGCACCACACATTGAAACACCATGCGATCATTCAGCGTGTTTGCCCCCTGAGAGTCGTCTTGGGGCCCTCCTGGCCAATCTTAGGGGCATATTGTGGCCATCCTCGGCCGTCTTGGGCTCGTGCAGCCCTCATCGGAGCACCCGTGGCCCGTCTTCGAGGCTTCTCTTTGGGCCCTCCCGGCCGTGGGGTGGCCTCCAGCGCGACTCCTGAGGCAGCGCGAAGCGGCCAGGAATTTGGCGTCACCCCCAGGGGTGGCTTCTTACAGATGTCCCGACCCCACCGTAAATAGAACAACGGAGGCAGGATTGGAGAGGCAAGAGACAAGTGCAACACACAAAGAACACAAGGCAGCAGTCTAGCAGCAGACCGCAACCTGGCGCCCGCAAGGGAGCCGGCGGATTGTGTACATGTAAAGTTTAATTTGTTTGTTGCCGTTTTTGTTTGGAAAACAATCGTCCATCCCAATGAGGTTGTCTATTCAGCTCTGATCGACTTATGTGCGCATTGGAATGGGAGCAGGTGCCAGCCCTCCGCATACAGAAATGCAAGTATGCGATGCCAATGACATGACATGCACGCGAACTCCGGATAGTACATAAGGTGTTGCCACGTTTGAGTCGCAAAAGTGCTGATAACGGCATTGTTGTTCACCCGTCTACACTAACAAAGTGGTGTTCAAGGCGATTCTTAGCCAATTCTGGTACCAGCGTGTGGATCCCGCACAGTAAGACGGGAGCAAGCAGTCTCTGGATCCCTCTATCTGCGTGGATGCGTGTGGACCCCAATGTGTGTGGACCCCTCTTTCCCGACAAGCGAAGAATATAACATTGCATAATGGCAAATTGTTGGAGGTCCGCCCGGATGTCTTGTGTCGGCGCCAGGGCCCACGTGCAGCGTTTGGGTCGACCCAGTCTTTTCAGATGATGCTTCTGAGGCTCGGGTCCTGACTGATCTGATGCATTGTGGCCTGGAAGCTGCAGCTCCATTGTTGATTGGTCAGGTCAGTGCTCGGACGGCCCCCGTGATGCCCAGAGGGTCGCGCCGCATGTACTGGCACCCCAGCAAGGAGGCCTTTGCCAGCAGGCGTTGCCAAGGGCAGTGCTAATTTTATTATGCTCCCATCGTTCTTAAAGACCACGTCCCAGAAATAATTTCGAGCACCCAGAAAAGAGTCGAAAGAGTGTCGAAACAGTGTCGGACGAGTGTCTACCAGGGCCCGACACGTGAAAACCCTCGAGTTTCGGTATGATTGGGTGCTCGAAATTCTTTTTGGTGGTCAAAGATAAAGTAGGTTGGAACATTGTAATGTTAGATGCCGGGTCAGTTGTACGTCGATGTCTTCTGGAGCCCAGCGTGCTCTGCTCGGTGCGTGTCGGGCCCCCTTTGCAATTCGGGGATGCTGGGTTGGAGACGTGGTCTTCTGATCGTGGGTGCGAGCAGCAGCTGGTTCTCAATCAATGCGTGCACTGGGATTCTGCATAGCATGTCTGCATTCGTTTCAGTACCCAGATGGGGTCGGGAGTAGATGTGGTCGGTGGGTCGCGCTGCATCGCCGATGCATCGACGATGCGGCTCGATGCGGAGACCGTGTTTCCACACGACGACGTCGCCGATGCATCGCCGATGCATCGCCGATGCATCGGGATGCATTGGCGATGCGCCGCGATCCTTCGACGCCATCTACTCGGACCCCATCTAGGAGGCCTCTAATATTGGGTGGCTGATTCTGCAGCGCTGATCCATCAGCCGAGGAGAGCGCTCTGTACCATGGGATGGCCATCTTCTTCAGCGCCCTGAACTGGCCTGCGCGACGATTTGCGTTGGGCCATTTTCAGTTTAGATGCAGAGCTACAGAGCCCGCATTTGAAAGCACATGTGTGGTGCAATTGCAGGACACCTTTTATGCAAGTTGACGAACGGAGTGTGTGAGAAGGGGAGAGAGAGAGAGAGAGAGAGATTCAAGACAGAGGGGAACGGCTTTCGGAGATGGTGGCAGGGCCAGGATATGGCAAGGAGAGGTTGAGAAAGGCAGGTACGCATGCGGAAGGGGAAGGATTTGTGAAGAGCGAGAGTGCATGTAGGAATTTGGAAGGAGGCAGCAAGATGGGTAGGGGGATCAGGAATTGAGGAAGGAAACGGCAGACAGTGCAGTGTAATAGGAAAGAGAGGCAGCGCGGGTTGTATACATGTATACATATAGAGAGAGGGAGGGAGAGAGAGAGAGAGAGAGAGAGAGAAAGAAAGAGAGAGAGAGAGAGAGAATCTGGTATTGATCACCAGGCAAAACATGCTACGAGCAATCCAGCGTACATCTTATCGGCGAGGCGGGTTTCGCATCCTGAGGAGGGTCATTTTACAGGCCCGGGGGCCCAGGGCTCAAGAGCAGCCTCTGTGTCTTCACGACGTCTTCACGACCTGCTCCGGGGGAGTCCGGGCACGGGGAACGAGTTGGCGCGCGGGGTCGAGGACTCCGCCGGTGGCAGCGCCCACTGCCGATAAACATTCGCTTTGCCGGGTCGCAGGACCACGGAAACGCTCGGGGCCTAAGAGACGGGGGTCAATGCAAACGGGGGTCAGCCAGAGCGCCAGATCCTGCAGGATCCTGCGAAGGCCCCCTCTGACTGACCCGGGTTAGCGAGCCGCTCGTGGCCGCGAGGCGGCCGCTCGTATTGGCTGACCCAGGTTTGCGAAGACCTGCGTTGCAGTTTTTGTTGTTCCTGCATTGCAGTTTTTGGTCTCCTGCTGACCCGGGTCTGGATTGACCCGGGTCAGAAGATCCCCGCGGGAAAAAAAAACACACAATGTGGGAAAACAATCACACACACACACACACACAAAAAAAACATATTGTGGGAAACGCACACACACAAACAAAAAACACACAGTGGGACAAAAACACACACTGTGTGTTTTTTGACCACGGAGACGCTGCCCCAGGGGAGGGCTCTCTCTGCAGGGCCCCCGGGCGGGGCGTCGAGGAGCCCGGGGGTTGCCCGCTTCTTTCGGCCGCGCCGATCTGTGTGAAGCAAAGGGGTGGCCACGGTTCGGTCGGTTCGGTCGCCCGGCAGTCGAGTGCGTTCGTCACCGAGCGCGTTCTGGATAGGGTCCGAGTAGATGGGGTCGGAAGATCGCGCCGCATCGTCGATGCATCAGCGATGCGGCTCAATGCGGATCCCGATTTCCTCCACGCTGGCGTCGCCGATGCATCGCCGATGTCGCCGATGCATCGGCGATGTATCGCCGATGTATTGGCGATACGGCGCGATCCTCCGACCCCATCTACTCCGACCCCATCTAGGAGGCCTCTAGTCACCGAGCGCGTTCCACTACTCGCAAAGGGCCTACTCGCAGGCGTCCGAAAGAGACACATGTCTGCACCGATGGCATGGATCGTAAAGTCCCCCGCGGCGGGTCCAGGCCACTTGCGAGTAGCCTCTTTGCGAGCAGTGGGACGCGCTTGACTAGTTCGGTCGGTTCGGCTCGGTCGGGGTCGCTGCGTCGTCGCCGCGTCGCCGCGGCCCTCGAGGCTGCTCGCGGCCCTGTCGATCTCGGTCGGTTTTTTGGTGCCTTTGCCGTCGCCGTGCACGGCCTCGTGCGGCACGCGAGGCCCCGTTTCCGCGGCCTCGAGCGGCAAGGTCTGGTGTGCAGAACGAGCTCCCTTGATCCACATCGAGGGGCTCCAACGTCTGCTGCTCCAGGAGCAGGTCGGCACCGGCAGCCACAGTTGCTCGGCGCGGAGATCCCCATCTGGGCGCCTCAGTCCCCGGGGGGGCTTCCGTGTGTGGGCGTCTGAGCGTGGGAGTCGCAGCCAGTGGCGACGGCAGCGCCTGAACCTCCCCCCGGGAGTGCCCATGTGCTGTGGCTGCTGCATCGGGACGTCCTCGGGGCCGTGGGAGGAGTCTGTGAGTGTCTGAGTGTGGGAGTCGCAGCCCGTGGCGACGGCAACGCCTGAACCTCCCCCCGGGAGTGCCCATGTGCTGTGTGGCTGCTGCACCGGGACGTCCTGGGGGCCGTGGGAGGAGAGAAGGGTCGCGGGTGTCCAGCGTCTGGCTCGCTCGAGGCATCCTCGCGGCGTGTTCCGAGAGCGCAGGAGTCCCAGCCACGAGACGAGGGTTAAATCGGGCCTGTCCCTCTACAGGGGGAATATTCTAAAATAGTCAAAAGCAGTCTGGGGACTTTATTTTTCTTTGGCGATTTAGGACTATTCTCTGAGTATTTTAGATATTTCGCCCAAGTGTCCCCCTGTGGGGGGGCAGGCCCGACTTAATACTACACAGGGAAGCCGTCTGAGTTGTCCCTGCAGGCGAGGCGCCCAAAGGGCCCGTTCAGGACACCCCCTGGCGGCTCTCACTGAGGGTGCTGAAGGCAGCGCCTCGATCCAGGCCTCCTCACGATCAGCTCTGAAAGCGAAGGCAAGGCCAGCCGAACGAACAAACGTCTGAGACTTGAACCACAACAACCGATCTGAAACGTGTGGCAGGTATTGATTGTTTGCGATGGATGACCTGAGGTGGGCTCCCAGCGGGAGGTTCCTGAGCCGATGATTTTTCGTGCCGCTCCTATGTTTGGGAGACGCTCGCTTGTGTCTCAGAGGCATCGGTCGTAGCTCTGTCAGTGCAGTGGCCCAGAGGTTTGTCCTTCGGCTTCGAATTCCCCTCATAGATGTACACGGGTTTCCACATTTGGGCCATGTCGGTCATTGGTGGCTCCTGCTGGCAGTCTTGGGGCCAATTTTGGGGTGGAGGGCTGCAAATGTTGGTTCGGGTTGGCCGTCTTGAGGGACTCTTGGGCCCCTCTTGCGGGCTTCGAATCGATATCGGGTCTCCTGGGGTCTCTTGGGCCGTCTTGCACGCTCTGTGCAGCAGATGACTATAAGACGGCTTCCTGGAGTTGTCCAGTCTTGCGGGTGTGCGTCGCGTGAAAGCTCGCAACGACGCCATGGACGACGTAGCGCCCAGCGCTTCTATACGAGTTCAGGCTGAATTGTGTGAAGCGTTCTGACGGCATCATGCGAGTTCGAACACGTGCATGGTTCCAGCTTACCCGACGGTCGGCCAAGCTATGCGTGAGCAACGGTTGAAGCTCGCTTGCTAGAGGGATAACGGCAACACGCAAGCCCTCCCCTCTGTCCGAAGTCCGAAGCGGATGCCCGATATTTTTTACCGAGCCAAGAGAAGTTATAACACAGACAAGCAGCATGGCGAGCGGGATGCGAGAGGAGGTTCGAGCGCGCCGCCCCGCACCGTGAGGAGGGGGAGGCTGGCCAGGAGCGGGAAAGGACCACAGGAACGGTCCCCGGGAGGGCGGAGAGTGCAGGAAGCGGAGGGGGTGGGAGGGCGTGGGAGCGGGAGGCCAGGCCGGCCGGGAGGTCGGGGAGGGGGGAAGGTGGGCGGGGCGGGGCGGGAAGGAGGACGGGGGCTGAGGGGAGGGCTCCTCCTCCTCTTCTGTCCTCCTCCTCTTCCTCCTCGTCTTCCTCCTACGCCGAAACGCCTCTTCCTCCTCCTCCTCCTCCTCCTCGGGAGGGGGAGGGGGCAGGGCAGGGAGGAAGGGGAGCAGAGGGGAGGGGGGGGGTCAACGTGCGAGCAGCAGCAGCAGCAGCAGCGAGCGCAGCAGGCGGGGGCAACGGCACAGGGCGCCCAAGCCGCGTGATGCGCTGCGTGCGCAGGGTCATGCACGGTACGCTCTTGAACTGGTGGCGCACCAGGGACGGCGATGTGCCGTCTCTCTCTGCGTTGTCCTCGCATTTCACGGCCCCCTTCTCTCTCTCTCTCTGCCTCTGTCTCGCTCGCCGCCTCCCTTCCATTCCTCCTGGCCTCCCTGGCGGCTTCCATCCCTTCCCCCTCTTGCCCCCTCCCTGCCTCCACGGAGCGGTTGCGCATGCACACTCCATGGCTCCCTGGCGCCTGGGAGACGGGTTTCCCTGGACCCGCGGGGGCAGGGTCGGAGCTCGGCGGGGGGCTGGGGGTCGGTGCTGGGGGGGTGGACTTGTCGAGGGACCAGCGAGCTCCGCCCGCGGACCCTCAGCAGACCGTCGAAGCCAGTCGAGCCGAGGAGGCGCAAGCTTGGATCGGGGCGCGTGGAGCAGCTGCGGGTGCTGCTCCCCCCAGGAGCATCGGCGCGCTCCGTCGCCAAGTCAGGCGGCATGGGGCTCGGTTTTGCGGGAGCACCTTCCCCGATCCATGGATGTGGCGGCCAGGTCTACGGATTCCAAGCCCAGGTTAGCGTATGTTGGATCAAATTGGCCAGTCGGCGAAACCTAAAATGGCCTGGTTCGTTTTCGCAACGCCTGGTATAGGACAGGCTAGGGGAGCGTGCAGGCAATGCCATCACAGAGCGGCTGGGCCGGGAGCCCTCTTGTGGGCGATGCTCCGCCCTTTCGCTGGGGTCAACGCGCATGGATGTTGCACTTGGGCGCTCAGTGCCAATCGGTGTTTGCGTCTCTTACTTGAGGTTCGGTTCGGAGCCTGAATTTGAATACACTCATGGGGCTGCGCCTGACTGACGATTCCTGGTCAGAGCGCAGGCTGAACCTCGCCCTGGGTCCACGTCTGCAGCCAGGTTCGATTTTGGTAGAAAGGTCCGACTCGGTGCCCGGGCCTCATTCCGAGTCTAAGGCAGACTCTGCCTACGATCTGGTTCTGTATGTCTGGTTTGGGCCAGGCTCTGAGGTTCAGGTTAGGTCCACGTCCAGGAGCCCAGGGCCCAGGTGAGGCTCCAGAGCATCTCTGGGCCTGGGTGCATGGGCGAAACGGAGTCAGGGCTTCCGTCTGGGCATTGGTCACACTGGCGCTTAGTGCGAAATTCAGGGTGTCCGGAGGAGGCAGGCCTGCTGAATTCGGGGGTGGGCAGAACCCCCAACAGTGACACGTCGATTAATGGATTGTCCGTTTTCGGTTCTCGAGATGGCGCCGCGGCCGTTATTCTCCAGGCTTGCGCCCGCCAGGTTTGGGCCTCAGGTCGTTTTAACTAAACCACGTTTTACTAAAGGGGGGTCTGTCCATCCCCGATGAATGTCGGAGCTCAAGGGACTGGGGTCAATGCAAACGGGGGTTCAGGCAGAGCGTTGGATCTTGCAGGATGCTGCAGAGCCAGGGCTGCACTGACCCGGGTGAGCGAGCAGAATCCTGCAGGATCTTGCAGGAGTTTGCAGGATCCTGCAGGATCTTGACTGACCCTGGTTTTGATTGACTTGGGGCAGTAGATCCCCGAGAACGATTGCAAAGCAAGTCTCACCATGAAGGCCGTTCATAGCAGAAGGCCGATGTTCGAGGATTGAGGAGGTCGCGCCCGCAAAATATCGCAGAAGTTAGAGTTTGAGCGCCCTATGGGCAATATGTGGGCATGGAGCGAGGGGAGGAGAGAGAGAGAGAGAGTGACAAGGGTCGAGAGACAGCGAGAGAGGGAGAGAGATCCAACACGCGAGAGAGAGAGAGAGAAGGAATCAGACAGGCGGCCAGGACAAACAGACAGGCTAACAGAAAGGCAGAGAGGGAAAGAGAGAGAGAATCCAAGAAATAATGGAAAGACAGACAGCGCCAAATATACAAGTCAGCTTGTCCAAGAAGGCCCAGGCCCACCAGCGGCCCAGGCACGGCGTCGCGTGACTCTGTGAGCGGAGGCTGAGGGGCACGGAGGGGAGAGCGGGAGACGAGCGCAGGGGAGGAGACTTGCGAGAGTCATTCGAGCGAGTTAAGGCGATGAGCCTGGCGATGCCCCACCAAACTCTGCCCTGTGTGTGATGACCCAGTTCCGCGGAGCTGCTCCGCGGGGTATCTGAGGGCAGACCCCAGCATTGGCGTTTGGTGCAATTATCGAGTGGCCTTCGCACATCCCTCCACCGCGCCTGGGTCGTGGACAAGAGGCCTCTTGTAGGCCCATTAGGTTCTCTTGGAAGGCCTCTTGGTGGTCTCTTGAGGGCCTCTCTGGGAGGTTGGGAGGCCCTCCAGGGCGTCCCGGGAAACTCTTCGGAGTTTCTGGGTGCCTCTTGCTGGGGCGTGTCGTGGAGGTCTGGAGGCTGGGGTAAAGGGCTCCTACGGCGCCTTCGAGTTCTGCGTCTTCGGGCCTTTTTGGAGCGATTTGGGGTGCCGTATTGGGCCGTATTGGGCCGTATCTGGAACTATTTTCTTCCGCGTAAGGGCCGTATTGGAACGATTTGGGGTGCCCCCTGAGCCGTCTTGGACGCTCCGCGACAAGCACAAAGTGGCAAGTTGGTGTTCCATGGTTTGAGCACTGGGGACCAGCCCCCGGGGCTTCCGACACGGCCCAGGAGGCCCCGAGGAGGGCGCCAGGACGATGCCTGGAGGCCACCCTGGGGCGTGCCGGAAGTTGCATTCCGCACCGTGCTCCCGAGGCCTCGAGGAAGCCATGACCCAGGCGCGATCGCTTGGGAGCGCCAAGAACCGCCCAGGGAGTCTGGAAATCCGGGGCCTGGATCCCTGGAGGAGTACAGCCGAAACCAATGAGAAGATGGGCAACCGTCCCAAGGATACTCTTGCATCCTTGCATCGTCGGTCCATCGTTAACCACCTTGGATGGCCAGCCCCTCTCGAAAAGAATCGACATGCACGTCTAGGGGACTTGCATCATTATCACGCAGCCTTGCTGTCAATGTTGAGTGCATGTGGAAACTTCACGCGCAGCGTGAAGGACATGAGGTCGCTTCATTCAGTGCCGACGGCACGGTGGCGGATTCATCGGTGAGAAACGGAGATGCAAGGAGATGCGAAGGCAGACAATCACGCACGCGGGTCCTCGCGCATGGCCTAGGACATCAAGTCCACCAAGCCCCCGGACGCCGATGCTTTGGAGGAGGTGTGCCGCGCATCAGGGGCCACGAATGTATAGAAGCAGAAACGCCATGACTGACCACGACCGAGGTTCGAGGTTTTCGGGCGTTTTTCGAGCCTCGGGATGTTTTCCAGCAGCCGCGCCTCGCCGAGAGCGTTCCAAGGGTGCCTGGATCGTCCAGAACGGCCGCCTGAGAGCCAAAAGTTATGACCCGAAAGCATGGAGGGCAGATGTCGCGCCCCCTCCTCCTCTTGAGCCTCCTTCTCCTGCTCTCCCTCAGTCTCCGGCTGTCAGTGCTTACAGGCGAGACTGTGACGGGGCTTTTCGTGTCAGTTCCGCCTGATGGGCTTGTTGTCCACAATCACCACCACCAGAAGTTGGAGGGGGGGGAGTCCTCCTCCTCCTCCTCCTCCTCCTCCTCCTCCTCCTCCTCCTCCTCCTCCTCCTCCTCCTCCTCCTCCTTCCTTCCTTCTCCTCCTCCTCCTCCTCCCTCTCCTACATCTTCTCCTCCTCCTCCTCCCTCTCCTACATATGGTGGTGGTGGTGGAAAATGGGCGCATCACCGCCCCGTCGCCATCGGATGCCTGCGGCCCCGTAAGGGTCTCGCCTCGGGTCGCGCGTCTTGCCCGGAGGAGCGCAAGAGCCCTGCCCAGACCCAGCAAGGAACCTGGGCGTCTGAGGGGGGGATGGGGAGCAGAAGGAGGGCGCGGCGGAGGAGGAGGAGGAGGAGCAGGGGGAGGAGCAGGAGGAACAGGAGGAGGAGGAGGAGGAGCAGGAGGCCACGGAGGAGGAAAATAAGGGAATGGCATAATGGGGCCGATGTCGTTTCCACACCCTCGACACAAGGTGGATTCCTCGAGGTCTCGATCCCCCCTCCTGGGGACTGGGGACCGCCTTCTCATCCAGGGCCGTTTTGCGACCGCCCCTGGGTCCTATGCTGGCCCCTGGAGGCCGAAATTGGCCACACCTTCCCGCCGCGATCGGTTCGCGACTCGAGGGGGTCTGGCCAGGGTTTGCCCGACGTGTCCCTGACCCAAGGTGCCTCCAAGATTTCCAGGGAGGCTCCCGCAGCCTCCAGAGCACGCCTCACAAGGCCCAGAGGGGCCCAAGGGCTCCAACATGGAGCGAACGGCTGGGAGCATCTCGGGCCAGAGACACCTTCAGTTAGGATACAACTCGCAACTCCTAGGAGGTCAAATTCAGCATCGGCGCTGACATATCCATGGTCGAAGTCTGGTGTAATCCCGTTTGGCTACGCTCGATCCCGCTGAATCTAGTTTGCACCTTACTCGGGCTAATAAGTCCTTAATCGGTCTTTTGAAGACCTTCCAGAAGTGGCCTCCTAGCGGTAGGCGTCGTGTCGACGCGGCGGCGACCCCACCGTGGTCATTCAATAGTTTGCGCTTCTAGTGGTTCAGAGTTGGCCAATGCAAACTAATCTGGCGATCGGAAAACCGCCGATTGCTCAGGATTGAACTATCCCGCCGATGTCAAAAACCAACGCTGGGGTGGTCCCCTAGCGTACGTAACCGAATCAGATGGTCATGTACGAAATGGTTGCGCGCAACGAAATGCGGTTACGAGCGACTTCTTACACACTTGAGCTACCAAAATGCAGTTGACACCCCCCCTTGCGTATCCAAAATCTTCCCAGGAATATCTTCGCGCAACCGAATCGTAAACAGATTCATAGTCGTAGCAGGTCGGTGAGGATGACAATGGCCATGATAATGCGGGGAACGAACGCGATGAATGGCGGAGCGGGAGCAGCAGCAGGATTCGAGGAAAGACGATGCTGTGCAGGACGCCGAGGCACATCGAGCGACGAAGAGGGAAGACGACATGTGATGATGAAGACGAGGAACTGCGGGATGAGGTGGAGCAGGACGTCAGAGCCCCGAATCATCAGGGGTAACTCGGGTCAGGGCTAACTCGGGTTCGTTTTTCGGGAATCCGAACCCGAGTTACCCCGGACCCGAGTTTCCCCGGATAACTCGGGCGCCCAAGGATGAAGACACGCAATTTGAATAGGAGAAGGACGAGCAATCATTCACGCAGAGGCATTTGGAGCATGGAGAAGGGATGGTACCCGCGGAGGGAAGAAGGAGGGCGCGGGAAGATCGAGCACGGACGGGGTGACGAAGCGCGAGGAACGCCGCAGCAAAGAGACCCATGCAAGCGGTCCCCAGCCAGTCGGCAGGTTTCCTCGTCGAAGCACACGTCGTGGTTCGGGGACGGGCTGACCCTTCCCTCGATGCCTTCGGGGGGGTCTGGGCTGGAGGGGGGGGGTCGCGCAGCATGGGGCTCTCCACTAGAAATATTCAGAACTGGTAAAAGAACAGTCTGGGGACGATGCTTTGACTAATTTTTGATCATTCTGGGGGTATTCTTGGACTGTGTGTTATCGTTCGTCCAAACTCCGCCTGTAGGGTGACAGGCCCGACCTGAATCTAGGCCTCCTAGACGGGGTCGGAGGAGCGCATCCCATAGGGTTCCAGCACCGTAAGACGCTGCACCCGAGGCCGCAGGGCGGGCGCACCCGCCTTGCGCCGCCGGCCACCCTGCGCCGCCGCCCGCCAGGGCGTGTGGATATCCGCCCCCATGGCCCCAGCTGGTGCGTCCGCACGGCCCTGGCATCGCTCGGACGTGTGCATTTTAGTTTCGGCGAGGGCCATCGAGGAGCATCCTTGATCAATTGGCGAAAAAGCCACGCACGAAACAGAAAAAAACACAGGGCATGGACGTCCGAGCGATGGCCAGTGGCTCGCCGCGCCCATTCCCACCGCATCGGGAGCTGTGCCGATGGCTCCCGTCGATGTGCGTCCGCGTACAGTCGGGGCGCTGAAGAAGGAACCCTTCTCGTTGGGGAGGGGCTCGGTGCTCCTTGATTGTTCTACAGCTCGCCTGAGGTTTTCATGAGGTTTTCCATGGGAGATCGAAGTGTAACTTATAGGAAAAGGGGCCTCGTTCCTTGTTTAGGGTTCCTTAGGTCAACGCCCCGACTGTAACGGTTTCCGCCCAGCTGGGCACACCTTTCGCGCGGAGTGTGCCCCATGGGGGGGGGGCACGTATGGCCCCAGGGGGAGTGGTCGCACGGCGGCGCCGCCCCCGTTTCGGCGCATCCCTCACGCGGATGGTGCCGCCAGGGAGTTCCATTCTTTGCCTTCTGCGAACGCGGCCACATACGCTCCTCGCCCATTGAAACACGCCGCTCACGAGGATCGCGCACAGCTGGGAATTCGGTGCGCTGCTGCGCGGCTGCTCTGCATGCCCCCGATCCTCACTGCCCCGCGGCAAGCGCTGCATGAAGAGAGTGCCATCATCTGCGTTACACGCAGCTGCGCAGGGTTGGGCTCTTCGACGCTGATGCTATCGATCGACGGCAGCATGTGTTCATATCGGCCTACAGCGTGATGGGCCCAACCAGTGATCGATTCCATGTGACCCCCCATAAAAAAACACCGATCGAATGCCTGGTGCAAGCAAGACACGAGCAGACAGTGCAAGCACGAAACCCCAATGCCCCGCCCCCCACCCCCCAGCAGAGTAGTCGCACGTCTTCAGCGAACCTGTCAGTTTCTCGCATCCGTAGTCTGGGCTTCCCAGGCGCCTCGCCATCTTACCATTTCTCGTGCGTGGGCTCACCCCTGCGACGGGCATGGGATCGTTCTCTGGCTGGCCCGTTCCATCCTGCGCGTGTTCTTCTGCATCCACCCCCGCCCTAGTCCGCCCTCCGTCCTCCCTCGCCTCGTCCTTGCCCCCGCTTCCACCCCTCCCGCCCCGCTGCCAAGCCCCATCCCCCCGTCTCAATCCAGCTCATGTCCTATCTTCTCGTCGACATCGGTATTCGCGCATGGTGTTGCGACTTCTCCGTCTTGCTCCTCGTACATGTCGTATCTCCTGCGTCCTCTCGTATACTTCACCTGTTTCCTCCTACTCTCCCTCCTCCCCACTCCATGCCCGCGGAATCCGAGAGGTCCCCCTGAGCATTCCGAATCGGGATCATCATCTTGTCCTTCGGTATAATGAGTTTATCCCGCGTAATCCCCCTTGCGAGTTTGATCCTCATCGTCCCCCTTCATCTTCCTCCCCTATCTTGTTTATACTACTCCACACCACCCTCATTCCAACTCAAACTTCCCTCCTCCTCCTCCTTCTCATCGTTCGCCTCCTCCCACTCCTCCTCATCGTCCCTGTCTTTTCTGCCAGCATCGCCCTCTCCCTGGTCGTCGCCATCCTGCCCGTTTCCTCGTTTACTGCATCCCTATCCTGTTCCTCCGACTCCACCACCTCCGCTTTGTTCTAGTATTCTTCCGCCCCCACCCATGCTATCATGTGCACGCGAGGCACAGCAATACGTATGAGTCCCATTCCCCCCCCCTCTTGGTTCCCCCTCTTGGTCTGATGAATGGCATACTGTTGGCACCTGTGTTCATGAATGAATTGCGTGATACAGGTGCTGGTGCCTCATCTGCCCCCCACTGGGGCCAGATTGTGTACCGATGTGATTACAACGCTCGCTGTTCACAACGATTGTTGTAACGAACCCGTGACCAAAATCGTATTTTCACAACGCGCATTTCCGACCGCATCCATGTCGTATCCATGTTGATGCACAGTGACCCAATCGTATCCATGACCGTATTCCAATATGTCACAACGAAGTCGTAGCCGTTGCAAGTCGTAATCGAATCCCCCGCGGCCATGTCACAACAGGGTACCCCTCTGCAGCGAGAGCGGTCCTACAACGCGACGGCATGGTTGCGGACGTGCGAGCAACAAACTATTGTGATGTATGCTTGCTCGGGATCGTGGTTTGGTGATTCTGCTAGGGGAACAACAAGTGCCATAAATATAAAAACTCTGAGGTCCGCGCGGATTTCTCGGATCGTCGCTGGGGCCCCCCGGCGGCGCCTCCGGCGCCGCCCCTGGCGCGCTCCGCGCGCCAGGGGGGGGGGTCCAGCGCGGATCCGAGAAATCCGCGCGGACCTCCGAGTTCTTATGTTTTTGCCCCTTTTGGTTCCCCTATCTGCCTTGCCTTTTGGGGCCACGGCACGAGCCTGCCGCACTGCCCGGGCGACCCCCCCGACGCCGTGGTGGTGTGGCCGCGGCGGTTTCTCCAGAGCTCGGCCCTCGGGGGCCTCTCGTTTGTGGCGGGGGGGGGGGGCAGTCAGAAGCGGGTCCTGGGCCGGAGACCATCCAGGCATGATCGCGTCGTAGGGAACGTCGCGAGGGAGTTTTTGTTGGCCAATTTCGGCCTCGGGGGGCCCTCGCCGGGCCTCGGGACCGTCAGCAGTCCCGGGGAACGGGTCGGGACTTCCAGGGACCCCGTACTCAAAAGATCAGGATGTTGCATAACTGGGCGCCCATCCTGAAGGGGTCGAGGCCTCGGGCCCGCCGGTGGAAAAGGCGCATCGTCGGATGGCTGGGCCGCTGCAGCAGGAGGAGGAGGAGCTGGGGAAGGGGAGGTGGGGCAGCAGAGAGTGGCAGAGAGATGAGGAGCGGAGGGAAGAGGGAGAGAGGTGGAGGCGGCAGGTGGGAGTGTCCGCTGCCGAGCGCTGCATGGAGCCCCCCAGCGCCACCCGGCTAGGCAGCCCTCAAAGCGCAAGAGGAGGAGGAGGAGCTCCAGGAGAGCCCTTCCCCGCTGCCGCGATCTGGTAGGCAGAGGGTCGCGATTACTTCCGACGCAGTAGCAAACATTAATTCTTTTAAGGGTGCCTTCGAGTGTTGGACCACCACCGTGGCGATGTCAGACCCACAGTAGCTGTGACGTTCGCCCACCTAGAGTTGGTGGCGAGCCCTGTTGGACGAAGATTTGGGTCCCGCGATAGCAATCCTGCGGGAGCATGTTTGCTTCTTGAGCGATCAGCCATCATTGTTGGTGCGCTTGCTTTTGTGTCGCTCTGGAGGGCGACATCCCTTGGCTGGAGCGGTGTCCGTCTCTCAGGCCTGAGATCGGGAGTCCCCCCTGCCTCGCTAGGCTTAAGTCGGGCCTGTCCCCCTACAGGGGGATTTTCGCTGAAAAATGAAAAAAATACCCCAAAAATGCACCAACAAGGTAAAAAAAAAAAAAAAAAAAAAAAAAACGTCCCCAGACTATTTTTGGAGTATCTTTGATGCATTAAAAAAAAGAAATAAAAATCAGCGAAAATACCCCTGTATGGGGGACAGGCCCGACTTCACGCCAGGCGCGCGAGGCCGACGGGGCCGCCGTGAGCGGGCCTCCCTGGCTTCCGCCCCCGGCCCCGAGGTTCATTCCTCCCCTCGAGGAGGGCCTGGAGCGAGCAGGGTGCCCCCGCGAGGGGGATGGCTCGGGCCGGACGAAAGGGGGGGACAGGGAAAGGGGGGGGATACGACATCTGCTGCATGCAGCTGATTTCGGCCCCACCGAGGGACCCATTCCTCGATGCATGGCCGCCTCCGGCGCCGGGAGGCGCCGGGGAAGTCAGCTACGTGAGCCGATTCTCAAAGCCGCCCTTTGCTATCCCCCCCTTTCGCCCTGCCCGAATGGCTGGTCGGTTGGCTCGCTTATCCTCAGGTGCTGCCCACTGATCTTCCGAACACGTGCCGCACTCTGAAAGTGCACGCAACGGCTCCTTACTGCACATGGCCAATGGAAGGTCCCGCCGGGTCCATGGCTGCATACGTATGGTTCCTTCTCTGAGCCAAGAGAGTGTCAGCACGTGGGTCGGGAAATACATAAATTCATTAAACTTCGCTGCTTGGCGAAAATCCTGCAAACCTATCGGGTTGACACCCGATCGTGCTCGATCATGTGACAGAGTACGGGAGCCCATGTCAAGCAGTTGCGAAGCGTCATGGCTCGCCTATATGCCCACCACAGAATGTAATAAGAACCTTTTGTGGTCTGCACGAAATGTTCTTAGAACGTGTGTGGCTGATACTGTCTTGGTTTAACACATCGGCGTTATGTTGTTTCAGAACATTTTTTGTTGTTGTCGAAAATTTCTGGGTTCTAAGAACATATCGTGGTAGGCCTATAGGAGTGCTGGGACGGACGGTCGATCCTTTCTCAACCATGGGAGAACTTACCGCCGGGAACCGCCGAGGCCAAACGAAAACCTTGTTGACTGGGGACTGTTCGATGACGTCGTTTTCCCGGCAACAAGGGAAGGACAACTGGACTAACATGCAACATGCAAGTTTTATGTCGGGCCTGTCCCTCTACTAAAGGAATGTACAAAACTAGTTAAAAAATAGTCGGGGGGCGATTTTTCGACTATTGCGGATCATGATTGGGTTTTGTTTTATTGTGTGTTATTTTTCGTCCAAAATCGTCTTGTATGGGACATGCCCGACCTAAAGCAAGTTGCAGATCAGATGTGTGAATTCAGACCATCTACAACCATGAACGTGCCACGCTGCAACCGATTATGCCTTGGCGTTGCCCACAAGTTGTTCTGAGATGTTTCGTTTGACGTGTCGTGCTTGTTATTGTGTATACATCGTATGGTTGAGTTGTTTGGTTTGAAACGAGTTGAGCTGTACTGAATTACAGATTTGGCATTGCTCTTCATTGCAGTTGTTAGTGGTGGTGGTGTTGTGGTTGTTGTCGTCGTCGTGGTCGTTGTTGTGGTCGTTGTTGTTGGCTGTGTTGTTGGTGTTGGTGTTGGTGTTCTTGTCATTGTTGTTGTTGTCGTTGTTGTTGGTGGTGTTGTTGCGGTTGTTGTTGTTGCTGCTGTTGTTGTTGCTGTGGTTGTTGCTGCTGCTGTTGTTGTTTTTTTCCACTGTCCTGGATTGCACCGCATTGCATTTACATTGCACGGCTCTGCGTTATGTTGGGGGTTTGGAGCTTCGAGGAAGGGGGGTCATCCTCATGTAGCTCAGCTCGGCGACCAAGTCGCCGCAGGTCATCCTGCACCAACACTATATAAGTCCCCTATGCCGACCCTCATGCCACGGAGTCCGACCTGAAGACGAATACGTCCACGAGCTCGCTTTGAAGACGGGGAGCCCACGTGGGCATAATCTGGAGGAGGGCGAATTGAGACAAGTATGGTCGGCCTTGGGGCCTTCGGGTGCGGGGGTGCCCACGTCTCAACGGCTGGACGCTGCTTGGAGAATTGGTGCGTTCAGTATCTGAGAGAGGTCTGGGGATCGATTTTGAGCTACCATTGTCTCAAATCGCCCTGCTCCGAATAGTACAGCAGATCGCTTCACGCATTCCGTTGGCCTTGTTGCGCAGGTGTTTTCAGCCTCTGGGCCACAAATGCGCGTCATGCCCCCCCCCCTTCCCCATCCCCCATTACGTAAGCTTGGCATCGTTCGGACGTGTGCATTTTTTCTCGGCGAGAACAATTGAGGACCATCCTGGACCATCGAGCAACAAAACACGCGTGAAACCGAAAAATGCACGGGAACCAGACGTCCGAGCGACGGCAAGTAAGCCCCCCTCCCTTCCTCCGGCGCTGCCATTGAGATGTTCGCAGGCTATTGTGGCTTTCATGGTCGTCGTCGTGCCCGAGTGCCTCGCAGGGCCTGCCAACGCTTCCAGAGGCCTCCAAAGATCTCGTGAGATCTCGGGAGACCTCTGTAGACCTTCAGAGGCGCCCGTCGTCGTCGTCCCCGTCCCCGTCCCCATTCCCGTCGTCGTTGTCGTCGTCGTCCTCGTCGTCCTCGTCGTCGTCGATGTCATCGTCATCGTTGTTGCCGTCGTCGTCGTCACCGTCGTCGTCGTGATCGTCCCTTTAATCATCGTCGTCCGCGTCCCTGTCGTCCTCGTCCTCGTCCTCGTGGTGGTCGTCGTCCTCGTCGTCGTCGCCGCTGAGAGCATCGAAGTGCCTCCGGACGCATCCAGAGGTCTGACGAGACCTGCTCAGGCCTCTGGAGACCTCCAGAGACCTATAGTGGCGGCCGTCTTCGGTCTCGTCCTCCTCGTCGTCGTCGTCGCCGTCATCGTCCTCATCGTCGTCCTCGTCCTCGTCCTCGTCCTCGTTGTCGTCCTCGTCGTTATCGTCGTCATCGTCGTCGTCGTTCTCGTCATCGTTGTCGTCCTCGACCTCGTCGTCGTCATCCCCATCCTCGTTCTTATCCTCGCCCTCGTCGTCTTCGTCGAGGGCTTCGAATGGCCTCCAGACGCCTCCAGAGGTCTCCGGAGACCTCCTTCGGCCTCCGGGGACCTCTGGAGACCTTCACAGGCGGCCGTTGTCCTCGTCGTCGTCCTCCCCGTCCTCGTCCTCGTCGTCATCGTCGTCCTCGTCCCCGTCCTCGTCCCCGTCCTCGCCTCGTGCCTGTCGTCGTCGTTGTCCTCGTCCTCGTCGTCGTCGTCGTCGTATTCGTCGTCGCCGAGGGCCTCGAAGGGCCCTCAGACGTCTCCACAGGTTTCCAGAAACCTTCTCAGGCCTCCGACGACCTTCAGAGGCGTCCATCGTCGTCCTCGTCCTCGTCCTCGTCCTTGTCGTCAGCCTCGTCCTCGTCTTTGTCCCCATCCCCGTCCATATCCCTGTCCCCGTCCGTGTCCTCGTCCTCGTCGTCGTCGACGTTACCGTTGTCGTCGTCGTTGTCGTTGTCATCCGGCGATCGGGCGTCCTCGTCGTCCAGCAGACGTCGAAGGAGGGTGTGGGAAAAAACATCGTTGTGCTGCACGTATGCAATGCGCAGTACATAGGCGGTGTGGTGCACGCGGCTGCCGCAGTGCATACAGTGCTGCGCACTGTGGTGCTTGCTGTGATGGGTTCAGGCGCTGTGGTGCCGGAACCACACGGCGGGGGGGGGGGCGTTACGTGATGCCCCCCCGCCCCTTCCATAACGCCCGCCGTATGAACGAATACGGGAACCTGTCGTGTAGTGCGTATGTCAAGGAATCAATTGGTTACGACGAGCATCGATTGGCAACTTTGCGGCAAGCAGAGGTGACCACATAAACACAGAGGCCAGGTCCAGAGCAGAAGCAGATGCATGATTGCGTTCACACTGCCGATCTGAATGCTTCTTTTTGTTACCGTGCGAGTGCGCGTTGCACATGTATTGTTACGCCCACGACCTGCGAATCCAGGAGTTGGGAAAGTCCCAGCACAACCCTCATGCGGTGGGGCTTCATACCGGGTTTGTTCCGCACGTCATGCTTACAGCGAGGCGTTGTTAAGTGATGACCATACTGCCACATGAAGTTTCACACAGCTTACAGAATTCAGGTAGCGCAAGCCGTTGGTGATGTGATCTTCCGATCGGACTATGTTGGGCCGTGGGCGAACAGAGCCCGCCCAAATTGGGTCGAGCGAATAGTGTAGTAGTGAGGCGACTTGTCATGTAGCGCTTGCTGGTATTCGTCCGGCAAGGGCATTGGTTCTTGCATGGTCGACACCAGTTGATTGTGATATTGCACGTGGCACATTGGGTGTTTCGTTTACCAATGGTGATGTGTATTCTTAGTTTTGATTTTTGTTTCATGCCTGTGTGCAGCACAGTTCAATGTCACCGTGCACGCACGGGCTTGCAGGTGTCTGACGCGTGGAGCCTTGTTCAGCGAGTCGATCAAGCATATTGTTTTCATGTGCACTTGTTCAGCGCACGCCACTTCTTTCTTGGTTTACAGCAGCGGCTCGGTAATTCGTTCACCCACCGTCAGAATCATCGCAATGGTTTCGGGGGCAGGCTACTTGCGTCAATGTCGCGATGTCCAGCGCACTTACGCCAATCGACGAGGACGACTTCAAGGTGTCGCATCATTGCGGGGGGTACCTTTGCAAGGGCTCCCAGGAGGGCGCGAAGTTATTCGCGCTTCGCGCTTCGCCGTCCTCCTTCCTCCTCCCCCTCCTCCTCGTCCTCCTCTTCTCCCCCTTGGGGGGCGGCGCGAGAGCGCGAAGTTATTCGCGCTTCGCGCAGCGCGAAGCGCGAACTTAGGAGCCCTTGCTTTGTGTTGTTACCAGCGGTGTCCGCATGTAGAGCAGTTCTGCAATCCAACACGTCGCTATCTGAGCGTCCACTAACCACACAGAAGCCCGGCGACGGCCGGCAAACCCGTGGCTGCTAAAACCGAGCTCTGTGTTTTTTTTTCCTTCGGGAAGCAGCCCGCTTCTCATTTCGCGCGTTGAGTTTGATTCCGGGAATCTTTGTTTCTTCCAGGATGGCCTTTTTAGCGGCCACCCATGTGCCAGCGGTCGCCCAGCTCCCGAACGTCGCTATCTGAACGTCCACTATGCTTACACAGTGCTTGCACTCGGGGGGGGGTCCAGCTCGTGCTTCCGAAGTGCTGGCCACCGACGCCCGGACTCGGGCCCTTCTCTCGCGGGGCTCGCACACTGGCAGCCCCTCCCCCCGCTGCCGCGTCGATAGATTGAGGTTATGTCGGGCGTGTCTTCCTACAGGGGGATTTTCGACGGAAAAAATAAAATACACCCAAAATGCACCACACATGTCCACAAATGTTCAAAAAATAGTCCCCAGACTATTTTGGGACTATTGTTTGATTATTTTTTTGATATTTTCAAATTTTCGTCGAAAATCCCCCTCTAGGTGGACAGGCCCGACTTAAGAGTGAGGGCGTCGCGGAATGGCCACCGCCACCGCCATCCCCTTTTCAGATGTCGAGCCCGTCGCGCGGCAGCAGCGGTCCATTTCTGGGTGCGGCCCCAGGGTCCCGCCCGCACGTTGGTCTTGTGCGAGGGGGGAGGGGCGCAGCATCAAGTCGGGCCTGTCCCCCTACAGGAGGGATGCTCAAGAATAGTCCAGAAAAATAGTCCGGGGACGATGTCTCACTATTTCAGAACATCTGTTTAGTGATGTTTTTTCTTTGAACAAAACCAGATCGCTCGAGATCCCCCTGCAGGGGGGCACGCCCCGGGGGGATGCAGGCTCTGGTGTGCGCCCGTCGGGCCTGCCCCCGTGCGCCTCGCGCCTGGCTCCTCGGCCCGGCCGCGCTGGGCCTGCTCGTGCGCTGCCCGCGGTGGGGCGTCGCGACTGTCCCCCTTCTCCTCCTCGTCCTCCTCCTCCTCCTCGTCCTCCTCCTCCTCCTCCTTCCTCCCTTCTTAGCTCGCTCCTCGATGGCTGCCTGTCGGAGGCCCAGAGGTTGACGACAACACCAATATCGGCGGTGTGCCTCCACCGAGGGAACGTGACCCCGACCTCGGTGGTGGTGGCAATATTCGGGCTCGTGGGTGCCCTCAAGGTTTCCACCGACACCGAGAGCGAGGATCACCTTCCCCCTGTGGAGGCGAACCCCCCTGTGATGGTGTCGGTGCCCATTTCCAAGCCTCCAACCCGGGGGTTCGCGGCCACGGTGTGTCCCGTTCGGGGGGGGGGTCGCGCAGTCGTGGGTGCGGTCGTGGGGCCCTTCCCGCGCGCTGCGCGAGCGGGACGCACACGCTTCGGTGCGGGGTGTCCTTGCGCTTCCGGCCACCCCCGACGTCCTGCGGGGCGGTCCAGGAAGCTCCCCGGGGATCTTGAAGAGGGGCCCCTTGGGGTGCTCTTTGAGGCCATGGTGGAGGCTTGAATTTCAAGCAAGCGATGCCCCCTGGGCATCTGGACAAGTCGCGCGGGGCTCCCCAGGAACGCCCAGTCGGAGTGCCCTATTGGAGAGGTTATCATATTCAACGGCATTTTGGGACTGGAGGACGTTCCCTTCAGCGCCTCGCGTCACGGTGGCCAAATCAGTGCCGATGGTCGAATGTAACATACTTGTTTTCGGAATGTGAGTGATATTGGCTCGCGTACGCCAGGCTGTTAACGGCACCTTCCGAGGTTTGGGATTTTTGTTGGTGATTTCGTAAGAGTGGGACGCCATGGGCAATTACAGCAGCAGCCAAATCTCAGGAGGTTGAGATGTACTGGGTGGGACCGTGTGGGGAATGCCCATGCCACTTCAGACTGGAACCCAGGCCGAGGCCCTATGGGCGAGGTCATCTGGGCAGCGACCGACGGCGTTACCCTGTGGGATGCCGATGGTGGCTACAGCTTTCCTGGTTTGCGCGCGTTCGGAGCGAAGCAGAAATACGGAGACGAGGACTACACATGGTTGACCCAGCCCACTTTTGTCGACGGGTCTCGCGTGGGATGCTGAGCCCTCCCTCGCCCCCTTGTGCCCGCTGATCGCGGTGTGAGTCGACCTGGCTTGGCACCACCTCCCGTGCTGCACAGCTGCGGCGTGGGGGGGCCACAGTCGCGGCACCGCGACAAAGTCAGGTGCACTGCTCACCGCTGCTCACCTCGCCACCACAAAATGTATCGGGTAGGGGATCGATGGCAGCACTGAATTACCCCATAAGTTGTTCTTCTGCCGATTCACAGCAAATCTCGTAGATCCACGGAACACTCTGCGCATTCGTCGTAGAGTCGACGACACAGTGAGTTTTTGTGTGAATCAATTATGTAGTCGATCCTTTATACTCGAGTTGAACATCTGACAGCACGACGCGAGCGCCGGCTCTCATTTGGCATGTGTTGAGGAGAAGGTGCATGTCGGTTCAGTAAACGGCAGCATGTGTAATACCTATTCGCATGGCATCCTTATGCTGCCACCGCTAGTCCTACTCTCACACCATTGATGTTCCCCGTGGCATTCGTGACAGCTTCAATGTTATCGGCACGCCAGCAGCTCGCAATCGCTAGAAACAGAGCGCAAGCCTTCATTGGGAAACGTTTTGCATTTCCACACCACTCCTGATACGTAGCACCCCGCAGTTGCGCACAAGAGTGATGGGGGCAGACGCGGGGTGGGTCGCGGGTTGGTCGCGCGGTGGTTTGCGGAGTGGATCCCGGGTGGGTCGTGGGGGGGTCGCGGGCGAGGACGACAACAACAAAACAACAATACAACACACCACAACACAACACCACACAACAACAACAACAACACTTACAACATCAACACCACCACCAAAAACAACACCAACAACAACAAAATCAACAATTACAACAGCAACAGCCACAGCAACAGCAGCAGCAAAAACAAGCGCAGTACTAGTTTAAGGTTGTTCCATCTTATCTACTCGCGTGCCATTCAAGACGTATATCCCCTAACCCTTGGTACCCTCCTTGTTCGTCTTCCATACCCCTTTCTTCGGGGTATGTTTTCCCAATCTGCGGCGTGTGGTTGGCGCAGCCCCCTAAAACAGAGGAAGGAGGAACGGATTGAAGAAACAAGTGGGAGGGAAAAGGGATGAAGCAAGAGAGAAATCTGCAGGAAAAGAGTAGGAGCAGCAGCAATAGCGGCAGAATCAGCCTGGCGTGTCGGGCGGGCGGACCCGATCGTGCAGGTCGGGCGGGCGGGCCCAGACGGCCAGGGCGAGCGGGCGGGTCGCTAAAGCGTCGACCCATCATGAAGGAAGTTTCGAGCGACAACGCGGTTCCCAGGTAGACCGTAAGGAAATCCAGAGAGAGAGAGAGAGAGAGAGAGTGAGAGAGAGCGTGATTGTTCGAGTCTTGGGGGCACGGCGCCGCAATGAATAATTAGGCAGCTCCACGCGAGAGCGCGATTCCTGGATCGAGTATGAGGAAGTCCCGCACGAGAGCGCGAATCTGAGATGTCGGGCGGGAGCCGCTATTGTTGTAAACCGGGGGCCAGGGGCGTAGTTTGGTGACCACAGACGTTCCCGGATAAGCCTGGTGCCAGCCCCGGGCGGAGCACTTTAATGGAGAAAACAATGGTCACGGGGGGATCAACTGTACTTATGATCTTGCACAGCTGTGCTCTAGAGCTCGGACCTCTTGAGTTTCGTTCGTTCGTCGTCGTCCCTGGCCCCTGGTCCGGTCCTGGCCCTGGACCCAACCTCCACCCCGGGTCCTGGCCCCAGCCCCCCTTGCCCCGGTAGCCCTGGCTCTGGACCCAGCCTCCCCCTCCATGACCCTGGCCCCAGTCCCCCTCGCCCTGGACCCTTTTCTTTCGTTCGTCGTCGTCCCTCTGGTCCTGGCGACCCCTGGCCCTGGCCCCAGCCCCTCTCGCCCCGGCCCTTTAATTTTGTGGTTCGTGGTTTGTCGTCGTCCCCCTGGCTGTGGCCCGCTTCCCCTCGCCCCCGTCCCCCTGGCTGTGGGCTGTGGCCCGCCCCCCCTCGCCCCCTCGCCCCAACCCGGACCTCTGGCCTCTGGTCCGAGCCACAGCCCTCTGGCCATTTCTGAACTCAGCTTGTTTCCTGGCCTTGGCCCCACTCGCCCCGACCCTGGCCTTCGCTCCTCGCCCCGGACCGTGTATTTTCGTGGTTCGAACCCTGACCTCTGGCCCCTGGTCCGAGCTTGAGTCCCCCTTCCCCGGCCCTGGACCCCCACTCGCCCCGACCCTGGCCTTGGCGGCCTTGGCCCCAGCACTCCTCGCCCCGGACACTTGAATTTCGTGGTTCCGTCCCCCTGGCTCTGGCCCCCCATCCCCTGGCCCTCTCGCCCCCCACATGCCCCTCCTCTTCCTTCTCTTCTCAAATGTACAAGAGCCAGGGCACACGTGACACTTGTTTTTTCTTCAGGAAACAACCACATGTTTGTTCGCCCTCACGCGCCGTGCTTCTACATGCCACAGGAATCCATCCTGATGCCACCTCGCTCTTGAGGAAGCCAACTGAAAAGGGTGGCCGACATCTCCGCGCCCAGATCTTGCGCCCAAGGAGGTCGAGCAAACACCTCTCCTCAGACATCGTCCCACTTCAGCTCGCACGACGCATAACACATCCGTGAAACGTTTGGGAGCGGTGAGGATTCGAAACACAAAGGATCCCAGCTCCAGGTGTAGGAACATACGTAAACCACCTAAGGATTGAAGCCCCAGTCGTAAACAGGAGCAGGAGTAAAGCTCCAGAGGAGTCGAGCCCCCGTCGAGGAGTAATGCGTAGGAACATCTATGAAGCACTGAGGGTTCGGGCCCCAGGAAAGGGCAGGTGAAATACAGGATTCGAGCTTCGGCGGAGGACTGGCGTCGCCTCTTGGGGCGAAGCTTGTGGGGGCGAAGCCTGCGTAGGGCCGGAAAGCCCTCCCGAGCACATATCCCAATGCAGAAAAGTGTCTCCTGGGATCTCTTGGGAGCTCCTGGGGCCTCCTGAGCCGAAAAGCGCTCCCAGACACAGATCTCCATACAGAAACATGTATTTTGGGTCATCTTGGGGGCGGGAGAGCCGAAAAGCGCCCCCCGGACACATACAGTCGGACCAAGGTAGAAGATCGAGGTCGGTTCGGGGAGGGTACCCTAATGTTCTTCGTGTTTGCTGGATGTTCCTTGTACACCCTGGGGAGGGTACGCTCGGATGCTCTGTGTTTTGGCCAGCTGAGGGTCTCGTGTTCTTGAAGGATGTTCTTCTGGCCTAGGTCCCCGTGTGTCCCAACACAGTGTCTATTGGGGCCTCCTGGGAGCGGATGGGAACGAAAAGGGCTCCCCGAAAACAGATCCCAACGTCAAACAATCTCTCCTGGGTTTTCCTGGGGGCGGGAGGGCCGGCCGAAAAACTTTGCCCGAACACATATCTTGAGACAGAAATGTGTCTCCTGGTGCTTCCTGGGAGCGGGAGGGCCTCAAAAGCTACCTGAACACATATCTACATACAGAAAAGTGTATCCTGGGACATCCTGGGGAAGGAGTGGCCGAAAACGTTCCCCGAGCATATATGCCTGGAGCGTCCTGGGGCTTCCTGGGCCTCCGCAAGTATCGGTGACCCTGCTCTGACGTTTTCTCTGTGCTGCTGAATCGCGAGGACGGCATCCGCGAGCAGCAGGAATAATGATCTGAAGGACCCCTCTATGGTGCTGAGTGGCGAAGAAACTCAGGCGAAAAGATCTTTCCAGCATCCGCGAGTAGCAGCCATTTGGTTATGGAGGACCCCCTCGTGGCATTAAATTGTGAGCAAGTCTCAAGCGAAACGGCCGGTCCAGCATCCGCAAGTAGCGGCAATAATGCTCTGCATGATCCTTTATGTAGTGCTGGGTTGCGAGGAAGTCTCAGACGAGAGCGTTCTTCCTGAGGTTCGGGCCCTCTCTGGCCAGGGTCTCTCAGAGTTACCTGTAAGGGAAAAACGCACGGGAGCGTTGTTCTTAGGGGTCCGGTTTCAGCGGAACCCCGACACGCTTCAGCGGGAGCCTCAATTTTACAGGAAATGCAGCCGGCGGCGTCAATGCGAGAGCGCCACAGCGGATAGGGGGTCCACAACCATAGTTGTGTGGCAACGAGTGTTCAACCAACAACAGCAACGAACAATACAAATATTCCGTGCCGCGGGATTTCATTTTAGCCTCGCACCCAAGGGCATTGATTGAACGTTCGGCTCCCTTTTCTGATTATGTCGTCTCCTCGTGGGAAGATGTTTTCGAGCAGTATGAGTGATGATGGACCCATTCGGGGGAATTGGTATTGCCTCGTCAGTCTGGGGGCGTCTTTAATTTGGTGCATCTGCTGTTATCTACGTGTGGCAAGCGATCTGCGAAATGGCGTGAGCTGAACATTGCATCCTCATTGTCGCTTCTCGCATGCACATCCCGCAAGCGGCACCACAGGGCACGGTTGTCGAGGGCCAGTCGTAATGTTGAGCGTGCCTCCAGCATTATTCAGTTGCCCTCTCCAGGGGGCGAGGCATGGTAGGGCCTGGGACTGGAGGCGAGCATGGGCCCCGACAACCCCCAGGGCAAGGTCTTCCTCGAGGCGCGGGCAGCGCGCGGCGCCAGGGAGGATCAGGAATCTGTTAGAAAGGTGTTCGGGACAGGCGAGGACTACCAGTCTGGAACATATCCCTATCCCTAAGCTGGGCATCGCCTCATCACAGTGCCAATCTTAGGGGTTCCCTTATGTTTTGAGGGCGCATCCCTAAGATTGTCATCGCCTTTTGGCATGTCAATCTTAGGGATAGGGATAAGTTCGACGCTGGTAAGAGGAGGCGGAGGCGGAGGAGGGAGACTCTGCCCAGGAGCCTGCTTTTCGCAACCGAGGGGAAATCGGCGATGCATCGCCGACTCCAGCTCGGTGTTCTCCGCCTTCAGGATGTCGGCCCTTCTGTTCTTCATCCGTGAGGAATGTGCTTGTGGACATCATGGCTGCGGTCGTCCCGGAGGGATACGTAACAAACAGGAACAAAGTTTCGGTGATCCCCCGGAAAAAAAGATGGGAAATATTGGAAGCGGACGGGAAGACGAGAATCCAGTACATACGAAACAATATGGGGGATTCTGGGAATTGTGTCTGTTTGTTTGTGTGTCCCCAGCGGGGCTGGCCGCGCCACTCGCTCCGGGTGTGACCCGTCCCCCTGAGCGGCCCTCGCCCCTTCTCTCCTTCGGCCTCCCTCCCTGTCTCCTCCCATTTTCCTGCATGGTGCCACAATTCGTTTCAACGGTATCCCTAATGTGATTGCTCTTCCGCCGGCGCAGTTACTTTGCGTAGCCGCCGACGCAAAAAGTTTGTGCGCCCCTGGGCCTTGTGAGCAATCACGTTTCCCGGATCTCATGACCTTCCGCCCTCGTCTATCAGGAGAGGAACAAACACACAGACACTATCAATCCTCGATTTCTCAGAAAATATGGGAAAATATGGGGAGTAGTTTTATTTGTGTGCATTTATTTGTGTGTCCTGGGGCCCCTTCAGTCGAGCACGTCCCCTTGTCCCTCGCCTCGTCCGACCACACGCCTGGGGGCCATGATGCGCGCCCCGCCGTCCTTCGCCCTGGCCCCCACGTCTTCGGCGCACCCGCTGTACAGTCAGCGCGCCGAGTGAGAGGACGCGCGCATTCGTGTGGAGTGCCCCTTGTGCTCTTGCCTCCTGCGGCCCGTCCTGTGCCGTTTCAACGGGTCGCCCGCCGCCCCGAAAAGTCAAACTTCGGTCACCAAGGGTCTTCCGTCCCTACCACCCCTCCTAAATACACGTTTTGGGTGTAGATGGTGTCGGAGGAGCGCGCCGCATCGTCTGTGTATCGGCGATGTAGTTGGACTGGGAGCCCAGAGTTGTCCATTCCGACGTCGCTAATGCATCGGCGGTGTGGATTGACAGTTCTAGCCCGAGTTGCTCCAGCCCCATTGTTGCGGCTTCTATTCATGCACTCAGGTCACCTTCAGGACCTCGAGTATCGTCGTTTTCGCGCTCGACTGAGGAGACTGCGTTCCTCAAGGGGGTAGGGGGCGCTGGAGACTTGGCAGCTTAGCTGCACATCCGAAGCACGGGCAGAGGAACATGAGATCGAGAGCGGCCGACGGCCTCCTGCACACTTTTCGCTCCCTATTGTTCAGCTATGCCTCCGTTTCCGTTCCTCGTTCTCCGTGTATGGATCCGCCCTTCATCCGATGTTGTCAGATTTTGAATTGCGAGAGCCGGCAAGATTCAGGAACCCAGCAGAGGCCAATCAATATGTGCCATGTTGAGTCCAGGGGTGCATCATCGGCGATTGACGGTTCGCTGCAGGGCGAAACAGGGTTAGGAACGGCAGTCGTATGTGTATATATGTATGTATAATGAGGGAGGTGGGGGTGCAATTACGCGGTTTGCAATTTCCACGGGAATCGAATCTGATGTAGTGCAGTGACAACGTAGTGTTGGGCAACAGTTACAATTCAACATTTCATGTTGGCCAGTGGCATGTCATCGACGTATTATTTATGATGCGAGTACCATCTGTCGTCAATCAGGTCATACATACAATCGGTGATCACACTTAGGCGGGTAAAGCATACACGTCTTCCGTATGAGCGGGCGTCCCAGACATGGAATGGGATCGCGCATTGTGCACAGTGTTGCGAGATTTGATTTGGTCTTGGTGGTCATTGTGACAGTTGCGCCAGTGACGATAGTAACGGTGATGGTGCCCGTGATGATGATAAAAGCAGAGCTCGGCCTAAACGATGTGCTCGCGATGGTGTCGAGCGGTGTCGTTTTGATATCGAGGTGCAGCAATGGCGGGAGGATAGCACAACGTGGGACGTAGAAACCATAACGAAAACAGGGAATTCAGAGGAGCAAGAGGTGTCGACACCGCTACCTTTGCTTCATTTCTGCCCTTTGTGGGCCGCCTGGGAGGCCCTCGTTGCCACTGTTGGATTCGCCTCGAAGTTCTGGTCAGAAAGCACCCTCGGAGATGTCCTGTGAGTAGCTGTATCCGTAATCTGTGGTTTCCACAGTCTTGGGTCCCAAGGTTCCAAGGTATCGCAGGCGCAATGCTGCTTCGAGTATCGAGCGGTGTTCCCTCGCATTCCCTCCTCGACAGCGGGTGGGTGGAAGTCCAACCTATCTTGAGCGGCCTCTTTCTTCATGCTTTTGCTCACGTCTTCCGACCGATGGGCACTTGTGCGCCGCCTCAGTACCGCAGCTTCAGTCCCACTGGCGGACGCCGCGTCGTAGCTGTCTCACTTGTAGTCGTTGTCGTACGTGTCGCCTGCGTTGCGACGTCCGCAGTCGTAGCTATGTTTTATGCACCGCCTGGACCGAATATGCACCGTCGGCGTCGCACCGCGCTGCTCAGAGCAAGCTGCCTCTGGCAGCCGTTTGGGGTGGGATTTCGCCGGCGCGCGCGCGGGGCCACGCGTGCGCCCCAGCGGGGCCACGCGCGCGCGCCAGCAGGGCCGCGCGTGCGTGCCAGCGGGGCCACGCGTGCTTGCTAGCGGGGCCGCGCGCGCGTGCCATAGCGACCGTCCATTCGGGTCATGTTCGATACGAACTCTGCGGCTTAGGTGCTGTCAGGCTGCCTAGCTACTGTGCAGCAGCGCGCGTGGCACGAGCCAGCCCCCCCCCCCCCCTGCAGGTTGGCGGGGTGGCCCCCTCACGCCAGGGGGGCGTGGCGGGGTTCTTCCTACATCGTCGGATGGATCGGCTTCCGCGCTGTCCTGCTGCGCCCAGCCTCCAAGGATTCCCGCGCGGCGAGCAGTCAGGGGCGAGCTCGCCCCACATCGTTGCTTGTTGTGCGAGTCGGGTTTGCAGGAGTCGGGCGCATCCCATCCGAACGAGCAGCCTTGCGTGAATAATTGCTCGGGGACGAGTTGCGGGGGCTACAGTCAACCCGCATAGTAAGGATGGGCAACCTCCACAAGGGTACCCTTGCATCCTTGCCTCCTCGGTCCATCCTTCGCCGCTTTCGCTGGCCGCGCCCCGCTCGAGAAGCTTCGAAATGGGCATCCAAGGCCCTTGCATCCTTATCGCGCATCCTTACTATACGGGTTGACTGTTGGCGGAGGAAGTGGCTGGTGTGGAATCAGGGATGCCAAGACACTGCAGCGCGCCGCGGTCTCGTCCGACCCAGCGAAGAAGGTTGCCCCGGAGGAAGAAACGGCATCGCAGTGTCCCTCAGTGCAGCACCATGCCTCGCGCTCGCGTGGGCTCGACCGCTGGGGCTGGCGCAGGCGCGTGGCGGGATCCAGAGCCCACAGTTCGAGGGACTGCACAAGGATAAGCTTTCGGAGATCCCTTCCCTGGCGCGCTTCGCGCGCGTCAGGGGCGGCGCCAGAAGCGCCGCAAGAGGGGGTCCGGTGCCGAAGTTCGGAGGCGACGATAGGGCCGAGTGGCCCAGGGGCGGGCATCACACGTATTCGTTGGGGAGCTTTGCTGAAGACATGTACCATCGACGCCCCAGGATGGAGGTATTGCCCCGCCCCCCCCCTGGGCTATTCGCCCCCGTCGTCGCCTCCGAGAAATCCGATCAGGCGACCGGAGTCTTATGCTTGTGTTTTGGTGGTGTCCCGGCGCCAGCACCAGCGCCAGCGCTGGAGTCCAAAAGCAGAGGTCCAGGACTACCGCAAGACACAAAAAGAGAAGGCTCCTTGTGGTCCACGCATCTGCGCCTCCTGGTCTGACCCCCTCCAGCCTTTCTCACTCCTCGGCGGCCGCAATCAGGCCAGACGAAGGTAGGATAGAGAAAGGCAGGGGTTACGAACGCCGTTTGGCTCATCCCTCGATGCTTGGGCGCCTCCTGGCGCCAGAAGGCGCCAGCCAGACCAGCTACGCGAGCCGACGATCTGCCCTGCCCTTTGCTGCCCTGCCCCCTCGCCCCCCCCAACCTACAGGAAGCCGCCTCGGGCGCCCGGCCCCTCCACCTCCGAGCAGGCTCGGAAGCCCCCCGGCCTCCCGACGACGTGTTCCGAGCCGCCCCCGGGAGGCACAGGCCGCCTCTCGGACGGCGCGGGAGCCCCCGCGGGCTTCCCGAGGAGGCCCTCGCCTTCTCGCCCTCCCCCCCCCCTCGCTCGCCGCCGAGGGAAGGAAGCTCCTCCTCCTCCTCCTCCTCCTCCTCCTCCTCCTCCTCCTCCTCCTCCTCCTCCTCCTCCTGGAGGCGGGGGCACCGGCGGGCCCCTCGGCCGGGGGTCGCGGCCGCGTCCCGAGCCGCTGCTGCGGAGGGAGTGTTTTTTTTGTAAACGGGCTGGCGGCGAAGGGCAGCAAGTGCGAGGTCGGGGCTGAACCTGAGCGGTGCTTTTGGGCGATGTCGTGGGCCGTTTTCGATTCGACTTCGTTTTGCGGTGAAGGCGGACTCGAGACAAGAGCGAGGGACAACGAAAACAACACGAACACGAGAAACACCGTTTCGGTTCAGCCCTGGTAATCTCTCCCGCCCAGAGTTCTGATGGTGCATCGGAATCTGGTCGCCCCGATGTATCACGCACTCGTGCGAGGTAAGAGCCCCGTCGCCCTATACTCGCTCGTAGAGGCCCCTTAGCTGCCACTCTGTTTACTAACACCCCGTTTGCAGGGGCTTGGGTGTCATGGCCCCCCATGGGGGATACGGATCCTGAGGGAAGCTCCGAGGAAGAAGAGGTATTCATGCTGCTACCCCCTGCCTCATTTTCCCCTTTTTGGGCCTCCTTGGAGGCCCTCGCCGCCACTGCCGGCTTCGCCTCGAAATCCTGGTCAGAACGCGCCCCAGGAGAGGTCCGGGGGGGCATCGGTATCGGCACCTCTTGGTCGCCACGGGGGGAGCGGGTCCTGAGGGAGACGGGTCCTCAGGTTTTTCGCCGCGTTCGGGCCCTCGGGGCCTTCCGCGCACCGCCCACCGAACCATCCCAACCCAGCCCAAAGGCCCCGAGCTGCCCTTCATAGCCAGTGGAGGAGGGGGGGGGGCAGGAACACTGAAAGCACACGTGTGAAGCCCGTACCCCCCCCCAATCCGAAATTTGGCTCCTCGGGTTGGGTTGTGGTGGTCTGGGAGGTAGTCCTTCCGGAGGCAAAGACACACACACAGACACGATGAATCCTCGACTCCCAGGAACACATGGGAAAATGTTGGAAGTTGGGGGGAGGAGAGGCCGCGGTTTGTGGACTGTTGTCGTTGTGACTCCGACTTGCAGCCGTGGCGGGAGGAGAACACAGCGCAGGACAACGACAGCTCATGACGGACACGGGACATTCAGAGGAGCCAGAGGCTTGGATACCGCTACCCCTTGCTTCGTTTTCGCGTTGTCGCCTCGTTGAGGCTCCCGGGATGCCTTCGTCTCGGGCGCTGGCTTCGCCTCGAAGTTCTGGTCAGAACGCACCCCCGCAGAGTTGTGGAGGGTGAGCAATGGACAGGAAGCATGTTGCCAAATAGTTTCCAAGTGTCTAAAACATGTGTTAAACATGTTTTAAACATGTAAAAGCCATATCAACATTAGCCTGTCGAATGACCCAACCATATGCAGTTGTGAGTACCGCAGTTGTGAATAGAATCCTCGGTGGAGCTCCTTATGGGGCCACGAACTGTGTGAGGGGCCTGCCACAGTGGTGGTGGTGGGGAACCGCATGCGGGCACCCCCACTCGGGCCTTCGGTGGAGCTCCCTATGGGGCCACGAAGCGCTGCCCTGGGTGGGGGAACCGCATGCGGGCACCGCCACTGGGGCCTACGGTGGAGCTCCCTAAGGGGCCACGAAACGCTGCCCTAGGTGGGGGAACGGGCAACCCCCACTGGGGCCTTCGGTGGAGCTCCTTGTGGGGCCATGGAACGCTGCCCTGGGCGGGGGAACCGCATGCGGGCACCCCCATTTGGGCCTTCGGTGGAGCTCCCATGGGGCCACGAAGCGCTGCCCTGGGTGGGGGAACCGCATGCGGGCACCCCCACTGCGGCCTTCGGTGGAGCTCCCCATGGGGCTACGAAGCGTTGCGCTGGGTGGGGGAACCGCATGCGCGCACCCCCACTGGTGCCTGCGGTGGAGCTCCCTGTGGGGCCAAGAAACGTTGCCCTGGGTGGGGGAACCGCATGCGGGCACCCCCACTGGGGCCTGCGGTGGAGCTCCCTGCAGGGCCACGAAACGTTGCCTTGGGTGGGGGAACCGCATGCGGGCACCCCCACTGGGGCCTGCGGTGGAGCTCCCTGTGGGGCCACGAAACGCTGCCCTGGGTGGGGAGCACCGCATGCGGGCACCCCCAGTGGGGCCTGCGGTGAAGCTCCCTGTGGGGCCACGAAACGCTGCCCTGGGCGGGGGAACCGCATGCGGGCACCCCCACTGGGGCCTGCGGTGGAGCTCCCTGTGGGGCCACGAAGCGCTGCCGTGGGTGGGGGAACCGCATGCGGGCACCCCAGTGGGGCCTTCGGTGGAGCTCCCATGGGGCCACGAAACGCTGCCCTTGGTGGGGGAACCGCATGCGGGCACCCCCAATGGGGCCTTCGGTGGAGCTCCCTATGGGGCCACGGAACGCTGCCCTGGGCGGGGGAACCGCATGCGGGCACCCCCATTTCGGCCTTCGGTGGAGCTCCCTATGGGGCTACGAAACGAAGCAAGGAGGGGGAGGGAGGAGGAGGGGGGGTGGGGAGGAGGGGGGAGGGGGAGGAGGAGGAAGGAGGAAGGTGGGACGCGGGGCGCTGTCTCTTCAAAACGAGGACCCAACCCCACAGGATGGTTGGGAAAACCAGGTTTAGAACATGTTTCCTATATTTCAAACACATTTTAAATTCAAGGATAGGAATGTTAGGGTTTCCATTGTCGTGGCATCCAGAACCGCAGAGGGCGGGGGAGTAGCGGCATCGGTACCTTCTGGTTCCCCAGCCGCCGCACAGAATCGGCGCGCTCCGTCGCCACATCGGGCGGCCTCGGCTCCACGTTAGCACCAGGGCCGGACCTGAGCTGTGCTTTCGGGCGATGTCGTGGGCCGCCTTCGTTTCGAGCTCGTTCTGCGGTGGAGGCGGATGGAGGACACAACGAGGGAAAACGAACACAGAACGAAAACGAAAAGCACCGCTTAGGTTCAGCCCTGATGTACACCCCGATGCGTGGATCGTGTGCCCACGCGCCAGATCCACGGGTCCCTGGTCCATGATGGCGTGCGCCCGGCCGAAGGGCTCCACGGGTAGTCTTGTGGAAGTAGATTAATGGAGACACGTTGCCAAATCATTTCGAGATGCATGAAGCATGTTTCAAACATGGTTTGAAGATGTACAAGTATGTTCGAAACGTTTTTAGAACATGGTTTACACATTTTACACACATTGATGGGATTGTCAGAGTGTCCATTGTCATGGCATCCACAAGAGTAGTCCAGGGGGGGGGGCGATCGCCTCTCCGAGTCCCACCGCGGAGCCTCGGCCAGCCCCTCACGTTCTCCTTGAACCTTCTCGTTCTCCTCGTGCCTCCTCCCGCTGCTCGTTCTAACGTCGCGCGCCCAGCCCGCTCGGCGGATGGTGATCGTGCATCTCGGTCGTGGTCCTGGATGTTCCCATTCCCGTTGGTATTGCCGCCGCATTCGTTTGGGCAGCACCAAAGGGTGGAGGCTTGGCAGAGGGATCGGGAATCAGCGAAAGATGATCGAGGGCCTCGCTCTGGGCGCGAATGTCGGTCCTCGCCTAAGATCCGTTCTCTTCAGTGATCGCCAGCTGTAATGACGCATGCTTCCCCGCATGCGCACATATTCACTCACGTCGTCGCCTTGCACGAGGGGCGGGATGGGACGGGGTGGGCCCCCGCCGAAGCGGCAGCGTCTCGCGCCTCTGCGCGAGTGGGTTCGCTGCGCCTCCGCTCGCTTGCTGTAAGTCGGGCCTGTCCCTCTACAGGAGGACTATTCAAAAATAGTCCCAAAGCAGTCTGGGGACGATTTGTTTTGAGTGTTTTTGACAATTGCCAGGTTTCATTTTGATTATTCTTAAGTTTTCGTCCAAAGTCCGCCTGTAGGGCGACGCGCCCGACTTAAGGCCTGCTCCTCCGCGACCTCCGGCCATCGCCCGCCCCGCCCCGAGCTCCCCCCCCAGATCGACAGCATCGCTTACGAGGTCTCAGGCCGCGAGCGCGCTCCCTGATAGGCCCGTTCCCCACCACCACAACCAAAAGTTGGAGGATGAGGGGGTCCTCCTCCTCCTCCTCCTCCTCCTCCTCCTCCTTCGCCCCCCCCCCACCCAACTTGTGATGGTGGTGGTGGAAAACAGACCCATCACTCACTGGCCACTGCAGGAGGGGAAGGAAGACCCAGACCTCCGACAGCCCGCTGGCGTCGGGTCGCCAAGCCCCGGGGGGGGCCCTCGGCCCCGGATCCCCAGGGCCAGCCCCTCTGTGCCCCGGCCGTCCTCTCGGGCGCCCCGGGGCCCGGCAGCGGCGCCGCGGGGGCCGAGAGCGTCGAGAAGTGTCAGGCGCGAGCCAGCTCGAGTCGCCAGAGGGCCGGGAGCGTCTGCGGACCATGGCCACGATGTCGCGTGATCTTGTCGATGCCGGTCTTGGTCATGGTCCATGTCGGCTTTCGCCGATTCGCGAGGATGACCCACGAATTGACGCTGGCCAAGATCGACGTTGATGAAGATCGCCACGACGTTCCCGCGTCCAGTCACGTCATGGTCCCCATCTTCACCTCCAAGTCTAGGTTTCCCACATGGTGTTCGAGCCGATGGGGTCGGATGATCGCGCCACGTCTCCGATGCATCGGCGCTGTTGCGCGATGTGGGCGGAGGAGGAGGAGGTGGAGGAGGAGGAGGAGGAGGAGGAGGAGGAGGACGAGGAAGAGGAGGAGGAGGAGGAGGAGGAGGAGGATGAGGAGGAGGAGGAGGAGGAGGAGAGACCGTCGTCGATACATCGCCGACGTCGCCAGCACATCGGCGATTTGGTGCAATCCGCCGACGTCGTCGACTCGGACCCATCTGGGAGGCTCCTAGAGAGAGAGGGATGGCCGCATCCTCAAATCGGCGAGCCGTGGCGGGGCTGGCCGTGGGCGGAAGTGTGGGGGGGGGTCTGGGTAGTGCAGGAGCGGCGGAGGGCAACAGCGGGTCGGTGCGGTGGCGGGTCCAGGAGCGAGATTCGGAGGGGGTGCTCGTGCGAGGGGGGGCCAGCGAGAGACGCAGGGACGAGGGAGAGGTGGGCCGGGGAATGGGCAGGGGGGCAGGGAGGTGCGCAGGGGGGGAGAGCAAGCAGCGGAAAGGGTCGCAGAGCGGTCGAGGGTGGAGATGCCCATGCTGTGAGGTGCGCCATGCAGGAGGTATCCAGCTGCATGCGGCAAGTCCAGTCACCGTGCCAGCTCAGTTGTTCTGGTGGCGACAGTTCGCGGCGGGACGGGGTGCCGTCGCGTATGACACCTCGTGTCCCCAGGTTTGGGAAGGGCCGTGTTGATGGTGATGATGATGTTGATGCTGATGATGATGATGATGATGATGATGATGATGATGATGATGATGGTGACGATGTTGATGATGATGATGATGATGCTGATGATGATGCTGATGCTTGTGCTGATGTTGATGCTGATGATGATGATGCTGATGATGCTGCTGATGATGATGATGATGGTGATCATGATGATGATGATGATGACGATGATGATAGTCACGATGATGATGTTGCTGATGATGTTGATAACGATGATGGTGACCATGGTGATGATGGTGCTGATGATGTTGATGACGATGATGGTGCAGATGATGATGACGGTGGTGATGATGATGATGATGAGAGTGATGCTTATGACGGCGGTTATGATGATTGCTATGGTCATAAGTATGATGAGTAGGGTCATGATGACGATGATGTTTCTGATGATGGTGTTGCTGATGATGATGATGATGATGATGACGGTGGGGGTGACACTGGTGATGGTGATGGTGATGGTGACGGTGGTGCTGATGATCGTCCGATGATGGTGATGGTAATGGTGATGGTGATTGTGCTGGTGGTGATGACGATGACGACGGTGATGATGATGATGATGATGATGACGATGATGACGATTATGCTGAGGATGATGATGGTGATGCTGATGATGATGATGATGATGATGATGATGATGGTGGTGGTGATGATGATGACGATGATGAGGATGCTGCTGATGATTATGGTGATGATGCTGATGATGATGGTGGTGCTGATGGTGATGATAATGGTGGATGTAATGGTCGTTGTGGTGGTGGCAATGAGTATGATGACAAGGAGGAAGACGATGATGAGGATGGTGTGAAGGATAGGGAGGAGAAGGAGGAGGAGGAGGAGGAGGAGGACGAGCAGGCAGGCCGTCACATGGGACATCCTTCGTCTTCACTAGCTGTCCAGGAGCCCTCATGAAACTGGTTTGGGCCGTCTCGAGGCTGTTTTGACGTCTTGTGTAGCAGTTCTGGGAGCCTCTTGGAGCCCCCGTGCCCCTTGTTTGAGCCCTCTTGGGTCCTCCTTAGGGCCGTCTTTGGGCTCTCTTGGGACGCTTCGAAGGCCTCTTGGGCCGTCTTGTGGCTATCTTGGGCTTTCTTGGAGTCAAGGTGTGCCGTCTTGGAGCCATCTTGGGCCGTATTGAAGGTATCCTGGCTTCAGGTGGGCGAAGTCTTTGTAGTTGACAAGGGGTTGTGACCTAGGGGTTGCGAATCGGTCGCATGTCGAATGGATTCTGTCTTCGGGAGGGGGGGGCCGTGCATGCAACGAAGTGCGATTTGAGGGGGGAGCGCAGAAGATTGCAGACATCCTACCAGACAGAATTTTGCATTCTAGCACGATCCAACGTACCCGGGGCCTGGGTGGCGGATAGTCTATATTCGAAGTTAGTCGCAGTCACGGAAGGATGGCGTCAGTTGCCAATTTCGAGACCCCAGTTGCCAAGTGTCGGTCCTTGCCGTTAAGCGAAACGAAACCTCAATTGCGATACTATTGGTTTTGCCTACTTCTCTAATGGTCTTCGGCCCATGGCGCCATTGTCCCTGGATTGTGAACCAGAGGCCTCTTGCTCTTGATTATCTCGGAAGCCTCTTCAAGGAGATGGTCTCAGCGGTCCCTCGGCGATCTATCTGGGTTGTCTCTCGGAGGCCTCCTGAGGGCCTGTTGGGAGTCTCTTGGGGGTCTCGGGTGCCTCTTGTTGACTCTTGGGCGCTTCTGGAGGGCATGTTGGGAGTCTTGGGGGAAAGGCTCCCGAAGCCTCTTTACTCTTCCTGTCTCGGGGCCCTGTCTGCAGGAGGCCCTCTTGTGTCCTTAGCTACCGTGGCTGGTCGATCTGAGAGGGCTCTGCGGCCGCCCTGGGCGTTCCGAGACTCGACGGGGCGAGGACGCCCGATTCCATCGAGAACCGAAGGGAGCTCGGTGACTTCTGCTTTTTGGGGGGGGGGGGGGGCATCGGGCGGCCCTGTTGGGGAGTCTCGGAGGCCCTCTGGTAAGGCCGTCTTGACGTCGTATTGGGACGTCTGGAAGCGCTCCTCGGCCGCAGCGTGGCCCTCTGCGACCGGCTCGGGGCCCTCCTGGGCCACCTTGGCGCAGCCGCGCCTCGAGTAGAGTCGCGCGGCACAGCCCGGGAGCGTCCGGGAGCGTCCGGGCTGCCATGGGGGGCCTGGGCGCGCGGCAGAGTCGCGTCTGCGAGCGGGAGCACCAAGCAGTGAGTTATGGCGTCGCGGGTGTGCAAGCTTTGTGCGTTTCAGGCTATGCGGCGCGATCTGTGTGCAAGCTGTGTGGTGAACGCTCTGTGGTGCAAGCTGCGTGACTCAAGCTATGCTGTGTCAGCGCACGGTTTGCGATGGAGGCTATGTTGTGAAAGCTACTGTATGGAAGCTATGCGGTGTAAACTACGTGGTCTAAGCTATGTGGTGGAACTTGTGCGGTGCAAGCAATGTGTCGCAAGCTAGGTACGAGCTATGTGGCCGCCCATCGCACCAGGCGCCCACGGGCGGGCAGGCGTCACCTCGGATTCCCTCTCAGGCACCTTCATCTGATTCTCTCCCTGCCTTCCATGGCTCGGGCCAGACGATGCTTTCGCGATGTCGTGGACCGTTTCCGTTTGGACTCCGTCCCGCAGCGGTGGCAGAACGAAGACAGATTGAGCGAGCGCGAAGACGACACGAACACGAGAAGCATTGCTTGGGGCTCCCGCCCTGGCTCACCTCGTCGCCCCAGGAAGGGGCCTGGAGCGCCCTGGGCCGGGCGCTCCCCGCTCGCGCGCCGCCAGAATTCCTGGCCAAGCACCCGGGGGGCAGCGCCGTCCTCGTGGACTATTCCGGCCGGGACGCCAGCGAGGCCCGCGTGCCGCCTCCGTGCGTGTGTGTGCGTGCGTGTGTGTGTGCGTGTGTGTGTGTGTGTGTGTGTGTGTGTGTGTGTGTGTGTGTGTGTGTGTGTGTGTGTGTTCCTCCTCCAGGGCAGGAGGCTCTCGCCCTCCTCGCCGCCTGGTCCCCGCTGCAGGCAGCTCCTCCTCTCCCTCCTCCTCCTCGCACAGGGAGGCCGAGCGAGTTTCCGAGGCCACTCCAGATTTCGTACTGGAAGGGAGGGCCCACAGCCCCCCCCCCCCCGACAAGCAGCTTTCAGACGCCCCCAGTCCAGCCATTAGAGGGTGACCTTTTGCCCAGACCCCACTGGAACCCTTCAAGGCAGCTCAACTCAAACGCGCCCAAAATCAGACAACCTCCCTTTTATTGCGGAATCCAGAGTACCCTTGCAGCCTTCCCCTTCGGCCCATCATCGACCGCTTTCGCTTGCCGCGCCCTGCTCGCAAGAGATTGGTTATTTCGGGTCCGGCGAACAACTGGGTTATCGGGCTCGCCCCCCCCTCCCCGGGGATGACCTAACCTAGCCGGTAGTCGGGGGAGGGCGCAGGGAAAATTCGCAGGGAGTGTTGTGTTCAACAGCACGGTGGCGTTCGCCACAGCATGCTGGTGTTTGGATGCAAATTGGCGAACCGTTGGGGCTTGGAGTGGCACGGGGGGACGACGACGACGACAGATGACGACAGACGGCGACAGACGACGACAGACGACGACGGACGACACGACGACGACGACGACGACGACGACGACGACGACGACGACGACGGACGACCGGCGACCGACGACCGATGACCGACGACGACCGACGTCGTCCATAGGCATCTGGAGGTGCACGTGAGCAGCGCGTACACAAGCATTGCGTTGTGCACAGGCAGCGAGGCGAGTTGGTGCGCGCATTTGCTGCTGCTGCACAGGATATGCTGTGTACGCAGGCGTTGTGGCGCACGCAAGCATCAGTTCTTGCAAGGGTCGCGCGGTGCACGCGGGCATCGTGATGCACCCAGGCAATCTGGTGAAGACAGGCTATGTGGCGGTTGCTGCAATATCAGTTATGATTCACGCAGGCATCCCAGGCATGGTAGTGTACAGACGCACTGTGGCGCACGGTCATTGTGGTGTACCACACTTTGTGGTGTACGCAAGCGCTGCGGTGTACGCATCCGCTGCTGTGTACATTCCCTCTAGCGCTGCGGTGTACACGTCCGCTGCTGTGCACACGCCCGCTATGGTGTACACAGGCGTTGTGGGCCCAAGAGGCGGAACCGTTCCAACGGCCAAACAATGAATCACAAATAGTTTACATCAGAGTGAGGGGGCGAACGGTCATTCATTGTCCCTGGGTTCGTGGCTCTAGTGGGGATCCGTGGTGAGGATTGAGTTTGTTGCGTTGTTGTTGTTTGTTGTCATCGTCTCCCCTGTGACTCACCCCGCGACCCACCCGCGACCCACCCCGCGACCCACCCCGCGACCCACCCGGCGACCCCGCGACCCACCCCGCGACCCACTTGCGACCCACCCCGTGACCTGCCCGCGACCCACCCGCGACCCCCCTTGCGACCACTCCGCGACCCACCCGCGACCCACCCGCGACCCCATCCGGCGACCCACCCCCCCGCGACCAGCCCGCGACTCACCCGCGACCCACCCGCGACCCACCCCGTGACGTACCCGCGACCCACCCGCGACCCAGCCTGCGACCCACCCCGCGACCCACCCGCGACCCACCCTGCGACCCACCCCGCGACCCACCCCGCGACCCATCCGCGACCCACCCCGCGATCCATCCTCATTGCTTTCACGAAAAAACCAGTGCATGCGGCGGGCTCAATGCATACTTTGTAAAGGTTTGGCGCCTGTGGCGGGGTTCTTCAGAGCCTCGTAGACGGACGATGTCCTCGCCGCCCCCTCATTCTTATCCGCACTTGCGAGGGGCTACGTATTGGATTTGATACGATCGGATCCCCCACGATTTTCTGGAGTTCGGTCCCTCCAGAAGCCCTCGAAGTGTACGCAGTTCTGTGGTGTGCACAAGCACATGGGTGCATCGGAGCTGTGGTGCACACGTATGGTACTGAAGCAGCAACCTTGGTGCACATAAGCGTCGTCGTGTGCACAGGCAGTGTGTGTGGTGTACACAGACGCTGCGGTGCACACGGCTGCTGTCGTGTACACAGGCATTGTTGTGTGGATAGGCGCTGCGTTGTACACAAGAAGCTGTGGTGTACAAAGGCGTCGTGGCGCACGCTAAACAGACGCTGTGATATACACAGACATGGTCGGCCAAAAACGGGGGTACCGCATCCCTGGCCAGAAACAAAAATAATCGTACATAATTAGCAGATTGAGTTTGATACGTTCGAGCCATCAGGGATTTTCCAGATGTGGGCCCTGGCGGGACCTTGGAGGTGCACGAAGGTGCTGTGGCGCAAATGTTCGCCATGCGCTGTGGCGCCCGCGGCTACTATGGTGTGCACTCGCACCGCAGTGTACACAGGCGCTGTGTTGCATACGGCTGCTGTCGTGTCCACAGGCATTGTGGTGTACACAGGCACTGTTGTGTAGACAGGCGCAGCGGTGTACACAAGCAGCTGTGGTGTACAAAGGCGTCGTGGCGCAGGTTAAACAGACGCTGTGGTGTACACAGACATGGTCGGCACAAAACGGGGGGGGGTACCCCGCACCCCGGTACAGAAAAAACAATTATCACACATAACTTGCATATTGAATTTGATACGTTCGGGCCCGCAAGGATTTTCCAGAATTGGTCCCCGGCGGGACCTTGGAGATGTGCGGAAGCGCCGTAGCGCAGAGGTTCGCCATACGTTGTGGTGCACGTTGCTCCTGTGGTATGCACAGGCATCGGGGTGTACACAGCCGCCGCAGAAGCCCGTGCTCCAGCAGCACCTGCGGTGTGCAAGACCGCTGTGGTGCACGAAATTGTTGTAGTGCTCACAGGCCGTGAGGTGTTCGCTCGTTCAATAGACAGTGACAAGACTTCGCGGCTACGCTTAGCAATCACATCCCACGTATTCCAATGCGAGTTGCCCAAATATCCCTAGGCATTCTCAGACGGCGCCCGCATCGTCGCAACACCAATACCAGCATCGCGACAGCATCGTGAGCAGCTGTAGGGGCCGCAGCACCGGTGCGGGCGGGCATATGCAGGGCTGCCCACAGCGCGAAGGTTAGGTCATCGGGCAGCCCCTTCCCCCCCCTGGATAACCCGGGTTATAGCCGATTCAAAAATAACGGTCTCCAAAGTGTCGAGATGGCCTTCCGAGGCCTTGGCATCCTTACCGCGCCTCCTTCCTATATGGTTTGATTGTACCTCGTTCCTCAGTTTCCTCCCGGGACAACTTCCCTTCGTTTCCTTTCTCTTCTCTTCTAGTGCCTTCTGTCTTCAGACGGTGCGCAGCGCTTTGTTTTGGAGGAAGACCAAGGGCTGTTCGGATTGCTACTCTGAGCTCTGACTTACTATCTGCATGGTCAAGAGTGGCCGGCACGCAAACTCGAAGGATATGAGACAGAGATTGTAGATCCGGGCCCCAATGACAGGGCATACGCAGCCTCTACGACAGACGAACATCGCCAGAGGCCGAACGATTTGGACGTTTCGGAAACGGCCGATCGTTCAAGGTTGAACGATTCTCGCGGTGTCAGGAACCAACGCCGGGGTCGACACGAGACGAACCTGCCGTAGGGGGAGGGAGGAAAGGATTCTGAGAAGCACTCCTGCCTCTTCGAAGGCGCGGGCCTCGTCTGGAGGTGGAAGGCCCGCGCCGCGTCGAGTCGACCGGTGGCGACCCCGCCGTCGGCGTTCAACGTTGAACGCCGCTGGCGACCCAGAGTCGGTTGATGCTGAACGAGCTGATGTTTCCGAAACGCCCGATCGTTCAAGGTTGAACGATCCCCGCGGTGTCAGAAAGCAACGCCGGGGTCGATACGACGCCAACCTGCCTTACAATGGGGGCGTTCGTTCAGGAATTTGCCCAGGAGGCTTCAGACTCTTGGAGGGTTCATTCACTCGTGAGGGCGGCGGTGATTTCCACGGCCGATCCGCGATTGGAATTCCACCGGCTTCCAGACCCTGGGTTCCTTATCTAAGGTTTCATTGCCTAATGTCCCCTCCTTAGGAGGAGGAGGAGGAGGAGGAGGAGGAGGAGGAGGAGGAGCCCCCCTCTGCGCACCGCCAACATCGCGCCACGGTGTTGACCAGCGCGGCCGCCCCCCCCTCCAGCGGGTCGGCGCAGGGGCGCGGAGAGGATCGCGCGTGGCGCGTCGCGGCTGCTGGTGCGGGCAGGTGGTTGGCCCAGAGTGTAGTTGGATGGAGGTATAAGATCGAGGTCGGTTTTGGGGGGGGTACCCCGATGTCCTTCGTGCTTGTCGGACGTCCTTGTGCATCCTGGGGAGGGTCCCCTTGACTGTTCGGTGTTTTTTTTTTTTTCGGCCGAGGGTCTCATGTTCTTGAGGGATGTTCTTCTGGCCTGGGTCCGGCTGTACACACCGAATACAGCTCTTCAGTTGACGAGCTGTCGGCATCAAGATTGCTGGCAGGATGTGTTTCTATGTCCGCTTTGTCTTTGGCTCTCGGGCTCTTTACCCCAGAAACCAGAGGTGCAGTGGATGTGGACCTTCAGTTCGGCTCCGGAGGCTGGAATGTCATCCATATCCACTGCGTCTCGGCTGCTTGGCACCCCCTCAACAGAAAGTCCAAGACGCATTAGGTATAGATAGACATCTCGCCCTTTAGCAGCAGCAGCAGCAGCAGCAGCAGCAACAGGGCCATCCTCATCAGCATCATCTTCCTCGTGGGGCGTGCCGGTGCCGGTGCCGCGGGTGCGGACGCTCGCAGGCCTTTCACCAGGCCCGGCACTCCATGAACGCGAAGATCCAGATGCAGAAGTCGGGGGGGGAGGAGGCGGGGCGAGAAGCAGGAGCAGGCGAGGGCGAGCAGGAGGAGAAAGAGGTTGAGGAGTGCGAGGGCGACGGGTAGGAGGAGAAGGAATGTAGGGGAGGGGGAGGGTGACCGGAGAGGGGCGACGACGATCGCCATGGGGGAAACAGTTCCTGAGGTCTTTCGCCATTCTCGGCCCCTCGGGGCCCTCTACGGGCCCCAGAACAGTGAGAACACGACCCAGGACGAAGAACTCGTCCTGGGGGGAGGACCCGATTCCTTCAGAACTTGTTTCTCCCATGTTACGTAAGACGAGGACGATGGGGAAGCGCAGGAGGAGGAGGAGGACAGGACGAGGAGAATAAGGAGGAGCAGGATCGTTTCAAGATCACCATTGGTCATCGTGGTTTCGGTGTCCCCCGTAGTCGCAGTGCGGAGCCTTGACCTGCTCGTCGCCAATGTGGTGTATGACTTCTGACACGTATGAGTGGAGCTTGGTCATGCAGCCCAGGAACATGTCAATAGAGCCGTTGCCCGTAATCTCGATTCATGGTGCGAGCGGGATGTATTGCGCTCATCTGCATTCCATGGCAGCATGATGTTGCAGAACGATGCCAGCGCGTGGACCTCAGACTGTGTTTCAGTATCTCCGTCTCGCAAACCATCTGGTGAGAGCCAGGAAGCAACATTCACGGGCTCTATCCTATAGCCATTTGGGCTCCAGGTTGAGTGGCTCGAGCACCCCGGGACATTCAAGACAGACCTAGGCATTCGCAGCAATGACTGCCAATGCTGAGACTGTCGGATCGCCAATTTCCCTTGAGGAGTCCTTGCCAGCAGGGGTGGGAGGAGCAATGGACGGTGTCAAGCCGCCCATGAGCAAGGTCGAAGAATTCAAGCAAGCTTTGGAGCCGTACCAGCAGAAATACGGCCACTACTTGACGAAGCTCCGCCCGCCGCAGGAGTTCTTCCGATTTTCGAAGCCGAACGGCGACATTAAGAGTCGGCTTGAAGCCAACCTCAGCTACTTCCAGATCAACTACGCCGCGGTTTTCCTGGGAGCCATGCTGTTTGCTATTGTCACAACCCCGTCTTGCCTGATCGTCATCTCCGTGCTGGCGCTCGTGTGGGTTGCATTCCTGAAGAAGAACGATGACCCACAGTGGAAGGTCAACCTCGGGGGCATCGAGCTCGGGAAGACGCAGCGCTGGATGGCCCTCAGCGCCGTCAGCGCGCTGGTGTTTCTGAGCTTCGTCGGCAAGGCTCGCGAGCGAAACACGCGTCCGTGTCCGCGGCCTCGTGGGCCTGACCCCCTGGGCAGCGACCCCGCGGATACGGGGCGCTTCTGTTGCGGATGCCGAGGCCCCGCGAGGCACGCATCCGTGCGACCACGTACCCGCGGGATCGCGCCCCGGAGTGCAGACCGACGGGGCGTGGCTGCGGATCCGTCCGCCGCTCGCGGAAGGTGCTCTTCTCGGCCGCCTTCTTCGGCGGCTGCCTCGTGGTGGCGCACGGGGTCATGCACCCCGTCCCCGACGAGCTCGTCAGCAACGAGCAGGCGCAGCCCGTGGGCCCCTGACTGCCGCCGCGTCGCCGGCTGCCGCGCGGCGAGCGCCCGGGTTTGCAGGCACACGCGCTCCGCCCAGAGCGCTCTCCCTTGGAGCCGGGCGCGCGTGTGCAGCCTGGGCGCGCCGCCTTCCGCGCCGCCTCCCCTTCGAAGAGGAAACAACAGCTCAAGCAGTGGCGAAGCGTCCTGGCTCGCCTAGGTATAGGCCTACTCAAGAATGTTACGAGAACGGGTTTTGTGTGATTTGCACGAAATTGTCTTAGAACATGTCTGGTTAAGACTGTCATGTTTGAACAAACACATCGGGTTAATGTTCTAATAACAGTGTTGTTGTCCTTAAAACGTCTTTGGGCTTTTGGGACATTTCGTGGTAGGATCATCGGACTGCCGGGTTTGTCGGTCCCTGCTCAAACAGCAGAGACATAATGTTTCGGACATCCAGCAGGATGTTTTGGATCGGCGTTGGCCCCCCTCCCTGGCGCGCGGAGCGCGCCAGCGGGGGCGCCGGAGGCGCCGCCAGGGGGTCCAGCGCCGTTCCCAGGACTCCGCGCGGAGCTCCATCAGTTCAGGATTCGGGCAGTTTGTTGTTCTTCTATCCTCCGCTTAAGTCAAAAACCCTAATAAGGACGCGCGACATTTCTCAGGGTACCCTGGCGTCCTTGCTTTTCCTTGCTCTTGCGTCCTTGAGGTTTTCGTCGTCCGCCGCCTCAAAAATCCCAACTTCGGCTTCCAAGGGTCTTGCGTCCTTACCGCGCGTCCTTAGTAGGGTTTTTGACTGTATGATGTTCTGACCTACCGTGACCTTCATCACCAGAAGGCACGTCGAGCACCAAGGAAGCACCGAACTGCAGGGTCTGCACGGGTCGGGCCCTTGGCGGCGGTATTGGTTCGACGTTTCGCCATCGCGTCGGGTATGGGAACAACATGATCCTCCGCACGGCAGGTCCTTAGTGGGCCCCAGAATCGGCAGGGCCGTTTTTCGCCGTTTCCCAAAAAAAAGTATCTCTCGAAAGTGCAAGCCAACGGCTCCCGGATAGGAATCGGCGCCGGAAGCGGCAACACACAAAAACGGCAGCGGAACCAACGGCGCGGGGACCCGCAGGAACACGGCAACGCGAAGACCCTGCCCTTCCCGGGGCCCACTGAGGGCAGGCCCACTCTCCTTGACCCCTCCTCCTCCGCTCCGCCCCGCCGCGTCCGCGGCTGGGCCGGACCGGGCGGCGTGCGGCGGGCACGTCAAGGCTGAAGTCGGGCCTGTTCCCCTACAGGGGGGTTTTCAACGAAGAATAGAAAGTGCCCCAAAAGTGTTCCAAATTGGTCAGAACAGTAACAAATCGTCCCCAGACACTATTTTTTGACTATTTTTGAATACTCCCCTGTAGAGGGACAGGCCCGACGACCTGCCCGACTTAAGTCAACGCACGAGCGCGCGGCACGGGGCCCAACGGGGCGGCGTGCGAAGACCGAGCGAGACTGCAGACGCAAGCGAAGCAAAAGGCATGACAGCTGGCGCAGGGCTTGAGAGCAGCCTGTTGGCTGCGGAGGGGCCACCGCGCCGCAGCGCCGCCGACGCAGCGCCGATGCGGCTCGTCGTGGAGCCCGACTTCCTCCTCGCCGACGGCGCCGGCGCATCGCCGCTGCATCGGCGATGCGTCGGCGATGTGCGATGCGGCGCGATCCTCCGAGCCCACCTGCTCGGACCCCAGCCTGGGAGGCGTCGACCTGCGTTCTTCCCGATCGGGCTCTCCACCCAGGGGACGTCGGTCGCTGTGGGTGGCTCCGTGGAGCTCTCTGGCGCCTCGGCGAGGGGGCCCACGCGCTCGGTTCACGGTCTTGTGACCCTGATCCGGCTGCATCCAGGCTGCATCCATCGGGGGTGGACAGAATCCCCACCCTGACATGTCGAGTGGTGAATTGTCCGTTTTCGCTTCTCGAGAGGGCGCCGCGGCCGTCATTCTCCTGGCTTGCGCCCGCCAGGTCTGGCGGGGCCCGAGGTCGTTTTCACTAAACCATATTTTGCTAAAGGGGGTTCTGTCCATCCCCGAATCCATAGGGCACGACGCGGCACCAGCCAGATATGTGGAACCAAGCATATGGAAAACCACATGGCGCTGGCCATCGGGTGCAGACCAAACGACACATGATCGAGGACAGCATCACATTCAAGGTCGGACTGTACGCCTCCATGTGCTCGCGTTTTGAAGTACTTACTGTGTATGAGTCATCGATGCCCGCCCTTTCTCGTCTTTGATCGTCCTCCTCGTATTCCTCTGCCCAGAGTAGTTGGCGCAGCCCGGCATCGATTGGCATCGATTGCATCACATAGATTCGCCCATGGAGATTACACAACATATATGTATTGTAGCTCACATATTGCGCAGTATGAAGTGTTCCACTTCCAACACTGCACAACATTCAACATTGGTTGCAGGGCACATATTGCACAACATGGATTGCCCAACCTCGGTTGCACCACAGCGCTAGCACATAATAGATCGTTCGAAACACGCTGTTTGGGGTATACGCTGGCTAACATCCTCCTGACTTGCCACGTGCAGCTGGCGCAGCCTCGAAAGAAGCGGGAATCGGGAGCGGCCAAGAGGGGGGTAATGACTAGGGGGGGATGATATCATGGCGTGGGCCATGATACTTTCTCAACTTTCATGGCGCCTCTCCTAATATTCATGACGTTCTCCGGCCCCACCCTGGGCCGCGCGCATGCCCCCGGCCATGATCTGCGCCCCCATCCCCTTGGACGCCCCCCTCGTTGGCCGCCCCCGAGGGAAGGGAGGACGGAGCGCAGAGACAGGAGCGCGAGAGAGACGGGCAGGAGGGGGCTCGGGAGCAGGAGAGAGTCTGGCAGGAGCGAGGGGAGGGAGAGGAGGGAGCACGGGAGAGATTGGCGGGAGGGGGCTCGGGAGCAGGAGCACAGGGCAGCAGCACCCCAGCGGGCGGGTCGCGCGGGCGGACCCCAACACGGGCGGGCCGGGCGGGCGGACCCGGCCGGCGGGCGGTCGAGCGGGCGGCTCCCGAAAGCGTCAGTCCAGCGTGCATCGCGAAGACGTCCTCCTCCAGCCTCCTCCTCCTCCTCCTCCTCCTCCTCCTCCTCCTCGAGATCCTCCTCCTCCTCCTCCTCCTCCTCCTCCTCCTCCTCCTCCTCCTCCTCCTCCTCCTCCTCCTCCTCCTCCTCCTCCTCCTCCTCCTCCTCCTCCTCCTCCTCCTCCTCCCCCACGTCGCTCAGGAGTCAGCCCCGCGCTCCCTCTGGCTGCCGGTCGTGCCGCAGCGCGGTTCCCTCAAGCACTTCGCGAGGGCGGCCAGAGCGAGAGCGTGATTCCCTTGAGTGTCGAAGGCGCGGCGTGTCAGCACATTGCGAGGGTAAGGTGAGTCCCGCGCGAGGGCGCGGTCCGCGGATCGTGTGCGAGGAGGTCCCGCGCGGGAGCGCGCTTCGGAACACACTGTGGGTAAGTATCAGGCGGGAGCCGCTGTTGCTGCAGGTCGGGGGTCTAGGACTCCGTCTGAGGCCCCAGACGCTCCCTTGATAAAGAGCAGGCAGGGTGCGAGCCCTGGGAGAGCCACTCGAATTGAACAACCAAAGGGGCACCAGAGGGGGATATCAACATTAAGCATACGGTAGAGGTAAGACTCCAGAGGGCACCAGCCATCGGGCACCACAGAACAGTAGTTGTAGACCATCCTCGCGCAGCAACCATCAGGCACCGACCATACCGCACCAGTCACAGGACAGCACAGGGCAGCGACCATCCGGGCGCAACTCATAGGGCCCCCCACGGAACCAACAATGCAGTGGAAACCTATGCCAAGAAATACCCTGCTTGCCTACAGGGTGGCCTGGGTTTCTTGGGTTACGATTGTTTTGTTATGGAAAGCGTGACATCCCCACACCAAAAATCAGTGGACGTTCTGGGGTCTCAGGGTCGGATTTCTTGTGGGAGGTTTCTTGTGGTCGAGCTCCTACTGTAGGGCAACAACTCCTAAGGCTGCAAGCGATAGGGCACGAGTCATCGGGGACCAGCCATGGACTCCAACCGTAGGACACCAACCACCGGCCACCAGCGCGTCAAAGGCTGGCCACGGCCGACGTGGCCAGTTTCTTGCAACATCCAGCTGCGTGCGGCAAGTCCCGCTGCCGTGCCAGCCCAGCAATCTAGGTAGCGACTGCTCAAGCAGCGCAGACGGAGCCGTAACGTGTGACACCTCGTGTCTTTGGGCCTGGGAGAGCCAGCACACGTGACACCACGCGGCCCAGTCCGCACGGGGGCTATGGTGCCACGAAGCACGCGACTGGCATGCGGAAGCGAGTGCGGCGACGCTATGCGTTCGCACCTACTCAGGCAAAATAGCTGGGGCCCAATGCGGGGAGCCGGATCGGGTGAGCTTGCCGAGCCGAGCGCGGCAGCAACAGCATTGGCACCCGCTGCAGTGGCAGGGCAGCGGCAGCGGGCACCTCAGCAGCAGGAGCAGTGGAGCGACGCAGCAGAACGGGTTCGACTGCGCCGACCTTGGCCCGCGTAAGCGCCCTCGTCTCCGATGCAGCGTGCCGCGCCGGCGGCCCGCGCCGCGTAGGCAACCGCGTAAGGTCGCCTTTCCATGTCGAAAAAGACCCGTTCTTGATCGTCGTTCAGTTGGAAGAGGCGGGGGGAGGAGGGAAGCAGAGAAAGGGCAATGGGTGGCGCGCGAGGCGTCGGAGAGAAAGCGAGGACCCAGCTGCACGGGAGAGCCAGGAGAAAAGCTGGAAGACGTCTAGCGCATCACCGTACTCATGAGGGGGAAAAGCACAGACACGAGTAATCGTCGATCCCCCAGAAAAAAAAATAGGAAATATGGGAAGAGGGGGGGAAGACAAAAAACCATAACATATGGGAAAATATGGGGAATCCTGTTACGCGTGTATTTATTTGTGTGTCCCAGGGCCCCTTCACGTATATGCAACCGTGCAGTGTCCCTCTTGGGGTTTGGTGCGTTCGGTCGGGGCCGCCCCTTGGGTCCTCGTGGGCCAGCTTGGGAGCCTCCCCGGCGGTCTAGGACGCCTCCTGGAGCCCAGGGCAGCCCCCGATCTCCCAAAGGAGCTACCCCTGGTGGCCCCACAGGGTCCCTCCGGAGGGGACTCTGCCCCTAATAGAGGTCGAGTGGATATCGCCTGCAGAGTTGATTCACCCCAGAATCGACATACTTGTTTGATCTAAGGTATGTGTCGCATCCATTCTGTAGATACACAAATGATCTGCGTGTGCTTCATCGATTCGGTGAAGACTTGATTATTGGGTGAACCCATGTCTGTTGTCGATCCCCATACCCGAAGAAGAATTGCATTCACACGTAGTGTGTTGTTTGGTAGTATTGGGTTCACGCGGTAGCCACTTGCAGGCCCGTCGCCGAAGGGCCACCAATGTTCCCCAGGTAGTTCGAATGGGGGCCCCGAGAGAGCCGCAATAGGTTCACAGGAGGGTCCAACTGTGCCTAACGATGTCCCCTCGACGCTCAAAGATCGCGCCAGGATGGCTCCGTAGCCATTTTGGCTCAAGACGCTTTGGTTCAGCCCGCCCCCGCCGGCACAGGCAGCGGCTTCTCTGCTTCAATCGGCCCGAAACCCCAACCGCGATGGCCCGCCTGGTGCTCGCGGCCGCCGCACTCCTGCAGGCCACCGCTGTCCCCACCGGGTGCGGACATATGTTCAGCTACTGGGATTCTGTCGGCCCCGTCAGCTGTGACATCGGATGCTGGCGGGAAGTTGATGAGAACTCGAGGTGCGTCGAATCGGATAATTGTTGCCTCTGGTTCATGGATAGGGTCGCGGAGATATCGAACGCCCGCGATGGGAAGGAGGCCAAGGAGGTCGTCGCGTCCGATTCCAACGACCCAGATGCAGTGAAGGACATGATCTGTGAGCAGGCGCTCGGCGACCTGTACCTGGAGTGCCCCCACTGCAAGGGCGGCGAGGAGAAGTGCGCCCTCGGCGACTGGAATCATGAAACCCAGAAAACCAGGCTGTATTCCGTGATGGACGGCCTGCCGTTGGCAGGGCAGCGGTCTCTCGCGAGCGTTGCGACGATCGGCCTGGGAGCGATCGGGGGAGCCGCGGCGCTCGCAGGTGCCGCGTCGGCCTTCAGGCGTTGTGGCGCCCCCTCCGTGCCGGTGGATATCTCCGCGAACGAGGCCGCAGGGGAGGGCCAGCGCGCCCCGATCATGGCCTCGCAGTCCTGATCAGCCCCAGGGCACTCTGCCGGGGCGCGGCCGATGACCGAGCGCCGCGAGATCCTGGGCCTCGGGCCCTGGTGGCGCTCAAAGCAAGCGCCGCCCGTAGCTGAATCTTCTGGCCCGGGGCCCCGAGAAGAACTTTTGGGGCGCATCCGAGGGAAGCGGTGCTGTGGCGCCGCCTGGAGCGCGAGACGGAGCCCAATGTTCTGGGGGCCCGCGGGAGCCTGGGCACCCCCCTCGTTTTATAATTATTTTGAGCTTGAAGTTCCGCTGGACGCGAGGCAGCTTCGCTCCGTTTGTCTACCCTCTGCTTTTAGCTTTCGGCGTTGGAAGCAACTGTGGGCGCGAGGAAGCTTCGCTTCATTTCCTTTGGGGACACGGTTCCCACCTTTTTCTGCCTGGGGTCAGACAACAAGGTATGGTTAGGCGACTTCGGTTTTGTTCCAATTCAGTTTGCGCTTGCGATCCTGCGAAGTCTTTAAAAAAGATCGCGCCAGGATGGCCCGAATAGCTCCCACGAGGCTCAAATATGTCACTTGGACGCATTAAGAGAAACATGTAGGAGGCTCCTAGAGTCCAGGACAGCCCCCACCTGCACTCGATACGCAGCATTGCTCAGGGACGTAATTGCATAACCCTAGCGCACCACACAGCAACATTAACCTGCCCATCCAGAATGAATGTGCGTTGCAAAGGCACGCGAGCCTCTGCGAAGGCTGCACATGGGGCTTACGCGTTGCACGCTCCATGGGACCTGTACGAGGCGGCACCGCGGGAAAGGACAAGGATAGGGCAGGACATGATGACGAAGAAGAGGTGGGCGAACGTTGTTCAGAGGGGAGCGGACATTGCATGTGCGCGAAGACGTGGACGAGGGTAAGGATCAGACGACGGCCCGGGGGAGGCGCGAAGACGAGGACGATGGCAAGGAGGGGGCGCATGACGGCCCAGAAGAGGACAGCAAGGGCACAGGCTAGGTTCGATGTGCATGGAGCACCACTCCGCTAGGTTCGATGTGCATGGACGCAGCCAAGTGATCGCACAGCCGGCCCGGGTGAATAGGCCGACCCTGCCAAATCAAGGGGACCCTTGTGTCCTGCGTCTCGCGACCCATGCCCCCTTCATTCCTATGGCAACGTGGCCCTCGGAAGGGTCTTGTGTCCTCTCGCGTGTCCTGCCCAGTCAAGTCCGACTGCAAGGTGCTACTCCGTGAGAACCCCCGTTGGGCGCAGCAGCGCGGCGACAGCTGCAAGCATGGCCGCACTCAGGGGGGAAGGGGGGATCTTGTCAAACGCCACCCTGCTGGACCCCCCCCCAGTGGCGCAGCACGGCGACGAACATCTTTCGCCTGGCAGCACCCCTGGGGAAGAGAGGGAGCGACCATGACACAGGTCCGCTTGGCCGCTCGACCCTCCCCCCTCCGAGGCACAGCAGCACGGCGAGATTCGCAAGCTTGGCAGCACGCAGGGAGGGCAGCGGGATGCACCGTGGGGCGCCACTTGGGCTGGCCTTCCCCCAGGGGCGCAGCAGAGTGGCGGCAGCTTCGCGCCTGGCAGCAGCCGGGTAGGGCGAAGTCGGGCCTGTCCCTCTACGGGAGGCGTATTCAAAATTGTCGAAGCAATAGTATAGGGAACTATGTTTTGACTATTTTGGAATATGTCGTAATAGTTTGAATATGGATCATTCGTCGTCCAAAATCCGCCGCCCTGGGTGGACACGCCCGACCTGAGGGTAGGGCGAGGGGCGCGGCGGCACCGAGGAGGGGCAGACCGAGGACAGGGGGAGCAGCAGGGCCCTTCTCCCGGCGGCGAGCGGAGGGCGGGGGGGGCGGAAATGAGCAGGAGGAAGGCCTCCGCAGGAGGCGGCGGAGCTCCTCGGGACCTGGCATCGTTCGGACGTGTTTTTTGTTTTCTCGGCGAGGATCCTCGAGGACCACCCTGGACCATCGAGCAAACAAGAACGCGCACGAAACCGACAAATGCACAGGAAACGGACGTCCGAGCGAAGGCAAGAGGAGCCCTGGCGTTTTCGGAGAAGTGGTCCGCGTTTTCTTGGGGAAGGCTTCGAACATTTCTCAGGCGGCTGGAGGATGTCCGAGCCTTCTGGGAAGGCCCGCTCCGTCTCACTTTCCCCCTGGGTTCGCCGCCAATATCCAAACAGACACAGGAGGGCGTCGAACAAACAGCAACAGATGGAGTTTCGACCAGCGTTGGTAAAATGTTGCGTTGGAATCGGTGCTGTTTCCGTTTTAAGAGCAACACCCGGCTTCCAATTGTTCAAGAGGGCCCCCTTCTCCAGGCCTCTGGCAAGATGGTCGATCAATGCACCAAGATATTTCCGAAGAGGTCCCAGCAGACCCAGACAGGATCCAATGATATCCCCGAGGCCCCAAATCTGTCTCAACGGGCGAGGCGCACCCAAGATGACCCCAGGAACTCAAGAGGAGCCAGGAGGGACGAGGGAGGAATAGGCGCTCCTTGGGGCAGCTCAAGGCCAGCGCACAAGGGGCGCTAAACCTCGCGAGGCCGCCGTGTATCCTGTGCTTGAGCCTGGGCGCGCGCGCGTGACTCGAGGAATAGATGCTATCGTTAAGTCGGGCCTGTCCCTCTACAGGAGGAACATTCAAAAATAGTAAACGCATAGCCTTGGGACGTTTTTGCTGTGTTTCGTATGGTTCGGCTATTGTTGAATCTTTTTGAGTAGTTTCAATTTTTCGTCCAAAATCCACCCGCCTGTAGGGGGACATGCCCGACCTAAGAATAGATGGTATCGCCTCCATGTTTCTGCAGGGGTTTGATTTGTTGTGGGCGCCATCTCGATGCTTTCGTGGTCGCCAGCAGGATCACCTCGTTCTGCCTGGCTCCCTCGAAGCGCCGTCTTCGGCGATGGGAGGTACTGCATCGGCCCGATCAAGAAGGATACCTCTTTTGTATCTTGCCGATATTTGTGAGCACGGGGCGGAATGAGCAGGAGGAGAAAGTCGAACACCAGGCTGGTGAGTGTGTATGTGTGCGTGTGTGGAGTGTGCACACCGTCTCTGTGTGTGCTTGTGTATGGTGTGCGTGTCTGGTGTGTGGGCGTGCCCCTATTCCACTGTTCCCCGTGTGCGTTCACTACGGCCAGTGTTTGGCTCAGTGGTTTTGCGTGCGCATTGGTGATTGCCCTCGAGGCGCAGAAGGCCTACCGCATCTACGAGCATCCGGAGGCGATGGGCCGCGTGTGGTCAGAGGGATTCAGGCCGCGTCCCTCCTCTCTGGGAGGATGAGCAGGGCGGGGCAGCCAACGACAGCTTTTGAGCTGCATCCACGCAGCCCAGCGGCTGGCCTCTGATCACGCAGTGTGTCCTCCCGCTCCCGCTGCTCTTGTTCCTGCTGCTCCCAGGGTAAGCTGCTCAACATTAGCCTCGAAACTCCATCCTGGAAATTCATTTCGCCATCCTTCCGAACCGCTTCCAGCGCGACGAGGGGAACTTCGAATGATCAGGCACACAGGGGGAAGCAGGAGGGGGAGGTCCACCTTCTGGTCGGCAGATTGCGCGGAGCCCGCCTCACGGAACACGCTGGAGAGGTCACCGCCGCCATTTGCACACATGTGAGGCAGATCGTCCGAGCGGCGGAGGTGCCTCTGCTTTTGAGTCGGAGAGAGCTTTGTGCCGCTTCCATCTGAAGGTGCCTCTGCTCTCGAGTCGGAGGAGTGGCGATACCATCATCAGCGAGACCCCTCCAGCGAGGAGGTCCAGAGTGCCTCCCCGAGCTGGAGATCGGGAGGGGAGGGTCCAGCAGCAGGATGACCCTGTCAGGCTCCTGCCCTGGTGGCGGTGTCGTCTTCCGCTTGCTAATATTCCAGACCACTTGCGCGGCGGAATAAGCCTATCGTTCGACTGAACTACGAAGACGATGACGACGACCACGACCACGACGACGACGACGACGACGACGACGACGACGACGACGACGACGACGACGACTACTACTACTACGACCACTACCAGTACTATTTCTACCACGACTTACTACTACTACTACGACTACTACGACTACTACTACTACTACTACTACTACGACTACTACTACTACTACTACGACTACTTCTAATACTACTTCTTCTACTAATACTGCTAATTATACCACTACTGCTATTACTACCTGTTTATTACGACTGTGGCGACCATCGGTACTATTATTACTACTACTACTACTACTACTACGACTACTACCACTACTACTACTACTACTACTACTACTACTACTACTACTACTACTACTACTACTACTACTACTACTACTACTACTACTACGACTACGACTACGACTACTACGACGACGACGACGACGACTACTACTACTACTACTACAACAACTACTACTACTACATGTGCTGCTACGACCTGCTACTACAACCACCACTACTACCATTACTACTACTACCACTGCTACTATTACTACTAGTACCACTACTACTACTACTACTACTACTACTACTACTACTACTACTACGACTACTACGACTACGAGTAGTACTACGACTACGACTACGACTCCGACTACTACTAGTATTACCACTACGCCGATTCCTACCACTATTACTATTCCTACTACCTGCTATTCCGGCTACGACTACGACGACGCGTACCAATATTACGGCCACGATTTGTACCCGTACTACCCACGGTTACGACGATTCTTATTGTGATGATTACTAGCGGTATTGCTGCTACTACTTACTACTACTACTACTACTACTACTCCTACTACTACTGCTACTACTACTACTATTATTATTACTACTACTACTACTACTACAACTACTATTACCACGACGACGGCCACGACGACCACGACGACTACTGCTACTACCTTTGCGACCGACTACTACGACTACTACTACTACTAGTATTATTCCTGACACTACGACTACGATGACCTCTTCTACCACTACCGTTACTAGTACGATTTCGATACGACTGTTGCTGCAACGGCTAGCCATGCTAACACTATTACTACTACTTGCTATCCGTACTGCTGCTACTGACACTCGCGTGCCGACTATTACTTTACACTTCCATGGTTCATGGTCGCCAATCCTGCCAATATTCTGTGTGCCACTACTACCACGATTGCCAC